TTTTCATGATTTTTTCATTCTGGTGTACAGGAAGCTAAATCACAAGGTGATTTGTTATGTCACAAGACATTGTTTTGTCCTCTGGTAAACGTTTATAATTCAAGTGTAATTTCGTTGCGAAGATAATTGATTTACATATACCCATCAAGAACGCATTTTAGCTGTTTTGACCGCGCAGCTAGACGTAGGATATGTAGATGCTGAGAGCCGTAGGTGTCGTCTAAGTCCGTAATCGCCTTGCGATATAAGAAAATAAACTGAGTCTAAATGGTTGCGATGTGTGAATTTTTGTGTCACTCTTGTCGATTATATTCAAGTATGATGATCTTTTCATTCATAACATGTTAGGATTGTCGATCACAGCGGTACGTAGCTTTTAGATAGCTTCTTCCAAGGTTCATTAACCCGGCACCGCCTGGGCTATTTCCGTACCCACGACAGCCTGGGGGGGGGGGGTCGGATCCGACCCCCCCCCCTGTTATCTCGAGAACCAATGGTCGTATCGAGCCCCGCGAGGCGGCGTTCGAAAGGTCTCTACGAGACCTTCCCAAAGCACTCTTAAGATTTTAAGATTGAGGTCAACTTTCGGGTCAAGGTCAGGTCAAAGGTCAAATTCAGGGGTTTTGCATGATTAGGCTTACGGACAGCGGAATCGATAGCTGCTGCTCGAAACTCACCAAAAATGACCTCAAAGGCCTACTGAAGGTACCATGTACGTATAGGGGTCATACTAAGTACGGGTCAAGGTCAGGTCAGGTCACGAAAGGTCACGATTTTCAATTTCTGCTACATGGGCGTGCGACACATGTTTTATGACTTATTTTTCACGCCGAATCCGATGGTAATGGTTATATGTGACCCCAAGTCGCTGTGCTGGTGATAAGTGTGCATTGAAAGCATAACAAAATCGTTTATACCGTACATAACTAAACGAGGGCTAAGAAAAAAAGTCAATTTTTCAACTTTTTATTTTTGACATAAAAATGCACTTTTCTAGACGAGCTTTGTCCCAGGAATCTAGTGGTGCCATTTGTTTTCACATGCGATGTTCAGAAGTGCCTCTAATTCACGAAAATGCTTATGACGTCACCATGCCCTATGCATGTTGGAGCTATTTTTTACAATTTGGGCCTTGGGGGTAAAAAATCAAGATAGAAAGTTGAAATTTGGGGCATCTAATGTTCTAATAGAGCTCTACAACATATATTCCGGTTTTTTGGAAATTTTTAAAATTTTGGATTTTATTAGCTGTTTTCCAAAAAATATAGTTTTTTGAATTTTTTGGGGTGAAAAACGCATTTTATGGAAAATCCGAGATAGCCATTTTAAAGAACTCGTTGAGCTGCGTCTTTTCATGTCCTTAATTTGCAATTTGCTTTAAACCCTGATTTTTGGCGATTTTTTAAACATTTACCACTTTTTGACTAAAAACGCCATGTAGTTACATCACTAAAATCGATATATCTCAAAAATTTCTGGAAATTTTTTCTTAAAAATTGCACAGGAGACGTCAAATTGATGGGGGAGAAGGTATGCCAAGTTTCAAGTAGATAGCGAAAGCGGTTCATGAGTTATTCAAGAAAAACGGAGGGGGGGGGTCGGATCCGACCCCCCCCCCCCAGGCGGTCGCGGGTTAAAGAGTACGGTACCTGGAACGGCCAAAATAAGAGTTATTGCACAGCTCTCCCTGTAAAGACAACAGTGTTTGAGCTATGTGTAAGAATATTTGTCTGGGCTACAATTAACCCCACGTCCGGAGTCTCGGACGACGAAGATTCTACGTCGTCCGAGAGACTCCGAACGCGGGGTAAAGCACGAGTTCAGCGCTATCCATGATCACGATCAGTGCTATCTCCCGCGAGTTTGTCCCGCCTTTTCTCAGCGGGGCTTTTCCTTGAGCTTGCTTCTCTATTTGGTTAATGAAATTGATAGACTCGAAATAAGTTTGTATAGGTATTCATGGCCGGGTAGCATGTACGAGTAATGACTAATGAGTGTGCTACAGTTCAGCTTCAAGTTCAAATTGTCAATGAAAAGGCGACATATTGTGTATCTAAATGTTCTAGCATGTATCTGTCTCCGTGCTTCGTTATATGAGTAGGTCGCAGAGTTCTTCGTTATATGACAGCTTTCGTATTATGAGCTGCAACTTGCAAGGTAGGAAATATGGTCCAGTTTCTGTTGTATGACCATCGGTCGGGGCTTCTCCTTGTGCCTTGTAGAGGTCGCAGTTAGGACCGAGATTGTTCGCTTGCTGCCAATAGGTGTCGCTGTGAGCGGCCGGGCAGACGGGACCGGACGGGACCGACTCGAGAGGAGTGCCGCGGGTAATTGGCACTTCTGCTTGTAATTTGATTTCAAGGACAGAAGTTCTTATCAGTGTTTCAGTTCAGGTTTCATGAGATTCTGAGAATTTGGAATGCCAATTAACTCGGGTATGACAGTCGTTATTCGTGGTCCAAAGGCAATTTAGGGTTTTAAATACTTAGGATGGTTGTCGAGAGGACATGGTGGCCAGTGCTCGTATTGTCGATTAGTATTATGTTTCTAGAAGAGCTGATTAGCTGTGGTATTTTGAATTTGAGGCTTGCAGGTACTATGTGACTGCTTAAAAAGCGTTCAATTTGAAGGAATGAAATGTTTGACATCGAGAATATTGTGTCATGGATCTGAGCATCTGGGTGTCATGAGACGTAATATCAAATTTTAAGTCCGAAGTGGAATTGTTTATTTGGCTCTGCGTGAAAGTTTGGGGCTTATTCAAACAGTGAGCTTAGGGGCCTTGCTGCCCCTTTTTAATCATGGAGAAATTGTCTCATAAATGCCCCCTCGTCTAGCGAGGTGCGGCTAAATGAACTGAAACTGTACCGAGCCTGATTATGAAAGCTGACCTATAATCACCACGGGAAGGCCACAAACTGGTCTGGTTTTCTACGTACCTATGTGACGACTGAAGATTAAATCACCAGGGACATGGTCGGCGCTGTTTTGTCACCGGGCGAGACAAGGCCACAAGGTCAATGGGAATAAGGGCGGTGTTTCACGGGACGCTGCTACCACGCTGCTATCAAATTGCGCGAGCTGACGTCACACTTGTGGTAGTGTTGGAGCAATGGGCCTGTTGATGTTTCCATGGAAACCCAATTTGACACGTGTAAAAGCAGCGTGCTGCTATTACCGGTGAAACAGGACCAAGGGCTCCAATAGAATTGGTTCCAGCTGCTCACCGGATGAATTGTTAGTGCTCGCTTGCCGAACGTCTGTGAGGCTGACGATGGCCTGTTTCGGTTGAGCTGCCGTGATGACCTATGAGTGGGTCATTTTGGGGTCATTTGGTATAGCTGTAGGTGGACTACGTTGTCGCACTTCCACATACCTTTAGAATGCTCGCGAATATTGGAAGGCTCGCATACCGTTTACTGTTCCCTATGCGTGCGATGGAATTTTGAGCTTTAATTTAGCAATACAAAGCCACCGATTTGCGTAGCGTGGCGGTGGCCAGACATCGACAGCAACAATCGCGTGTCCACGCGAGAGCTGAGCGTCCGTCGAAGCCGATTTTTTTTATATTATTTTAGTCTCAAAATCCCATTGACTGTCACCAGACTGCGATCTGTTTGCCCGTTCATATGATGTGAGCATTGGTTTTTCGTCCATCAGCCGAGCACGTTACTGGCGACGCGTGGCGTTCGGCTTGTATACCTATTGACGTATTTATTTGACTAGTTATACTCAGATAGACGGTGAGCTCAATTGAAACCTCTTCGCGCTGAGCGTCGTCGTTCACGGAAACATCACGTCGTCGCTCACGAACATAATTGAGTGTGTTAATTTGGACTGAACTTTTTAATCGATCCACAATCACCACATATGTCTGTGCAGTTGACTTTAGTTGATAAATTGATTAGAAAATTAACTGATCTACCAACTGAGCTTTGTGTAATGTATCCATCAGCCACGTCTGCCGAAATGGGTCCACCTCTCTACAGTTGGCTAACAATCGAGCCTTGGGGACCGATCGGGCGCCACTCGAACGGTGCCGCTGTTATCAGCACCCACTCCGTATGTCAGACGGACCTGTCGTGAGATCAGGCGGGCTACTGGTGAACGGTTACAGCACTTTGGCCCGGCGATGGCTCACTGTCGGAGGGCGTGCAGATTGCAGATCAGCATTCTAATATCTGAGAGTGTGACTTAAAATCAAAGATTTGTGCCCGGCCATGAAGATAAGGTGATTGTAAATTGAAGTTTAAAACATTACATTCTTACATACCGGTATGTAGTATGAACTTGGGAACTGCACACGTATCACAAATGCATATTATTGTAAAATAACGTCGAATTTGGGCAAAATGGGCATTTGCCCCCCCCCCCCCCAAACGGCATAATTTTAACATTACGCCTATGGACGATGCATGGAAAGAATCGATAAATTGTTATGGTTTGCCCCCCCCCCCAAAAAAAAACTTTGAGCTGGATCCGCCTCTGTACATAGTGACCTCATTAGGTGATAGTAATCGAACGAAGATCCGGAGAGCGACTTCTCATTCCGCTATCACCCTCATTCCGCTCCCGAATAAAGGCGGCAAGGCACTGGCTCCCAGCGCGATCTGGTCGGACTGCAAGTGCGGAGCGCTGATTCAAATTGAGCACCCCTGTTGTCTCGGACGAGGGGTCTGCATCTGGTTTGAGCATATGAAGATGAGCGTGTGCCTGTTGCGGCCGACGGGGGCGGATTACCGCGCGGCGGCGGCGCCAGATACGGGACGACACGGCGGCGGCTACGGCTGACCCGGGCAGCTCGGCGGCGGCTGACCCGTCGAGACCGGTCTCCTCCAGCCGGGCTCACTCATCCCACCGCCGCCGAGATCACGTGGTGCGTGAGCCGCCACCTGTGCTGCCATATGCCGTCCCGTGACCGGTGGCAGCCCTGGCCCGCTGGCGGCTCGTGCTGGACGCGCGCGAGCGGACGGGGTAGGCGGCTGTGCGCGCCGGCCCGCAATCGGTCGCGAACGCTGGAGGGGGGCGCACCTGTGCGGCGAGCGCGCTCGACTGGAAGGCTCGGAGATACGCCTCCGGCCGCTCTGGAATCTGGTGACGTCACGGCGGTGCGTCTGGAAGGTCTGGACGGACGGACAGAAACGGCTCAGCCCCGGTGGGAGACGGCAGTTCGGAGTCGGCTCGCCCCCCGGACTGCGTGAGTGCGTGTGCGTGCAAAGTGTCGGCGGCAAACTGTGAGGCGTGGCTTCTCAAGCGCTCTTTGGAGCTGGACTGTTGGTTGTGAATCACTTAGACGCCGCTGGAGGCCTGTAGCGGCTGCTTTAGTGCGTACCGGCGCTCGGTAACCTTCAGTGCGGGCTGTTGTTTTTGTCGCCGTGATAACGGCGCTGCGCGGCACGGCCGCCGGCCTCCGGGATGTCGCCTGTGCCAGGCCGAACCGATGAGACGGGTCGGCAGTCTGCAGCCGCCGCCGAGGAAGCCTCGCGTGCCGAGTCGACCCCGGTCAAGGCCACGAACGGACATGGGACCGCCGACGGACATGGTACGAATGGCACCGGTGCAGCGCAGAAAAACGGCGGGGCAGCTGCGGGGACTGGAGCTGAGCGCACGGCAGACCCCACGGCAGGATCTGCAGCTGAGCCTTCGCCGGAGGCTACAGCCGAATCGGCGCCTAAGGCTGTAGCTGAATCATCGCCGGAGGCTGTGTCCGACCCCACGCCCGAGTCGACGCCGAAGGCCCGTTCAGACCCCGAAGGCTCGTCTTCGCCGGCTGCCGACCGTTCCACAAAGACCGACAACGGTGACCACGGTGACCGGCGGGCTCCGACCTCGGCCGGAGCTTCTCAGAACTCTGCAGAGAACGGCGGGTCGGCCGGTGACGGTGGCTCGGCGGCGTCCCCTGTCGCGGACACTGCACCGGTCACCGGTCCGCTGACCCCGCCAGACGGCCAGAGCGGAGCCGACAAGCCCCCGCCGTCAGATAGCGGGGGTGGAGAGGACGAACAGTCGGCGACCGGCACTCAGAATGGGACGGAAAAGGAAGGAACTCAGGACAATGAGAGAATCTCTGAGGAGCGTGATGTTCGCGGAAAATTAGCAGAAGCTAATGGAAATGGAGAAAGTGTTGACGAGAGCGAGTGCTCGACTGCCGCCCAGTCGCTTGAAACCAGCACCGTCCAGCACTCGAGCGATGCGGATAAAGGAGAAACTCTTCCCGTGGCGTCGGCGGAGGCGGAGGGACAGACGTCAACAGATAATCTTAGCTCTGATGACAATCGCGAGCCACTTGAGGCTGCGCGTGATCGGAGGTCGGTATCTCCTGCGACCCCGGTGGCCACACCGCCGGTCGCCGAGGGAGCAGATAGTGCGCCGACGTCTGCCGAGCCGCCCGCGGTGGTACAGACCAGCGCTGCGTCGCCAGCGGCCGGGAGTCAGCCCAAGTCGCCCCGCTCTCCGCCCGGCGCCGGAGCGAAACCCAAGGAGCGCAACCAGGAGCCGCAGCCGTCCGGGTCTGGATCGTCGGCCAAGAACGGCATGACGGATACACGCTCCATCTGGGTGGTGGGCTCCGAGGAGCACCTGCCCGGCGCAGGTAACGTTACCCACTACCCACTAGTCACTACCCACTGCCCACCGGTCGCCGCCCATTACCCAGGCAGTCATCAGGAGAAGCTGTCACATGGTAGCATGCCCTATCAGCCCAGGGACCTTGTCCAGCTTCCAGGCCGGTACCGGAAGGTGTCATTAACCCCCCCCCCCCCTTCACTTCTTGCATGTTTGACATACTTTCTGAGACATACCTGGTTTCTTACATACAGAAGGCGCTTCCGTTCGCCGAAAAATGCCCACCGCACCTCTCCTAAATCATGGAATTTCTTGGTTTGTCCCATTATTGGTTATGTAACATTTTACGATCGTTTTAACTCTTATTTGTGTTTCCGAAGCGGTCGTAAATCACTACGATCCTGAAGCCGACATGGGACAGACATTGCCTTCCACACATAAATTCATTAAATAATTGTGCCTCATATAAACATTTGTTTGTTCTGTAGCGACAGTTGTCAGTGTTCCTTCCTTTATTAGCGTTGCTTTCTTCTCCACCGCGTCGATTATGTAGAAGTCCGGTTGGCCGTTCTGTCTCTGTCCGCGCTGAGCTCGCCGACCGGCCGGCCGCACCCTCTCGGCTTGTTGAGCTGAAGGCTGCGGCTGGTGCAGCGTCAGAACGGGCGGATTAGACAGCTTACTGCTGACAGGCCGACCGACCGCGGCTCGTCTCCGACCTGCAAAAATCAGCACGGCCGGCCGACAGGTACAGAGTAGATGGGAAAGGTCCGCGGTCACCACACAGGGCCCGGGACATGGCATTGTGGTCGGTGGTTAGGTTACAAACTAACCGGCGTTAGCTCTTACCAAGGCTGTACCTATGGAGTTCCCAGTCTCACGTGACCCTTTAATGTGTGGGAGCAGCGGTCGTCGATTTATTCGGCCGTACCCGCTGGTGTCTCTCTCATCAGTATTCTAGATGCGGCCCTTTTATGTATAAACCATGTCTTCTATCATCCATACTTATGGGCTGTTATGGCTGTGATGTATGGTGATCGGTCGCGCCGATACTTTGGGGATGACTTGTATCCTCCCACCGCGGGACCCGATTTCCATGTCGGACCTGACCGGGCTCTGTCACCATGGCCCTGTGTGTGTCTGTCGGACAGGGACTGACCTATGTTCTACTCTGACTCAGAGGGGAGCTTTACCCCCCGGTCCGCCCCAACCGGCCGGCCTGCGGCACCTCTCGTCCCACGTTGCCCCTGAGCTGACCCCTTGTTAGGTTGGCCTTAGAGAAGAGCTGCTCGCCAGCTCACCTTCTGACGTCTGGCTCACCTCTCGTCCTGTCGCCTCCGGGGGCTCGACTCCTCTTTTTACCGTGATCGTTGACGGGAGGCCTCATCGCGTGCCCTCTCGATCATCCCAACCTCTGGGTTACCGCCCACCCTGTCTGCCCGAGGACGTTCTTCTGTGTGGATGTTGCGCCACTCGGTAACAACGGACGGCCCTTCTGCTTGGTGGAGTTGGAATAACGCCGTAGGAGCGGGGCCGGTTCCTTGTCCGGACGGATGCGCTTGACCTTAGCTTTGTACCGGTTTGTTTGTGAAAAGTTCCAACGAAAAGCCGCCTATTTATCTTTTGGGTGGACATTTGAGGTGACCATTTTTAGTAGTTCCGGTATGTATGTCTTGTATTTAAGTTGCAAGTCAATGCTGTTTAGTGGTTATTTTTTAAAATTTAGGATTTGAGGGAGTGGTGCATGTTGTCATCATATTCATCATCGTCATCGTACGCCAAATCGTACGCATTGATGTGGCCACGCGTCCTTGTGATATCGTGTGACGCATACAGAAGTACGTCACGGTCCGTCATTCCACGTCACTGCGCACAGTCGGGAGACCTCTCCAACTCACATACGGCGTCATCGCCCGTCACCCGGTGTCATCTCACGTCACCACGCATCATCCCACGTCACTGGTTACGATGACGAGTATGTCATCACGCCGTCGAGTGCCGCCGGTCCTCGACACCCACGAGCGCACGTTACAGGTGGCGTTATGGGGATCGTGACGAATCGTCACGCCCAGACACCCGTCACGCGTCGGCGCACATCGCTGCGTGCCGTCGAACGTCGCTGCGATGGCAGCAGTTTGGGTGTGGAGCGCGTCCTTGGTTATTGTACGGAAGGGGCGAATGAACCGGAAGCTCGCTGCTCATTGTCACTATCTCCAGTAGCTAATTGAACAATTATTTTTTCCTATGTAATGCATAAAAACTTACGGTGTGTAAGAAGTTATGGGGCATAATGACAAGCTTACGGTGGAGGGCTGTGCTTACCCGCTCCCGTGGTAATCATTTACTTTTGTTGTACGGAATTTGGACTCTCAACTGTCGGCAGCACATCGGCCACAGTTTTCTTGGCCCATTTTGCCAGTCCGCACTACCGTATAGTATCCCGTCGTCTTTCTGTGATCCTAGTGGCTCTCGTCCCGCGTTCCCATTGACCCCACTGACCGTGTGTTCCGTCTGCCGGCAGTGGGCAGTCCGCCCCGCGCTCCCACTGACCCCACTGACCGTGTGTGCCTTCTGTCCGGCAGTGGGCGGCGAGGAGGCCGGACCGGCCGCCTCCTGGGCCACTGTCCACAGCACTGTCCGGGCCATCCGCGTGTTCAAACGCGGCGTCAGCAAGCGCCTGCGCCGTCCGCCGTCCCGCGACCAGCAGGCGGCGGAGCCGGCGGGTCGGCCGCCGCGGCCCAGCCGCAGCGCCGACCGCCAGCTCTCGCAGCCGGCCGAGCCGCGCCAGGAGACGCCGGCCGCCGGAGGATTCCTGCGCTCCCTCTCGTTCCGCCGCTCCGCCTCGTGGAGGGGCCCTCTGCGCCGCGCCGACCGCCAGCCGCGCGATCAGCCGCAGGTAAAGGGGACGGGGGGGGGGGGGTGGTGGTCAAGGGAGGGGCTGGCTTCCTTTTGTGAGCTTCCTTCCTTCTGTACGAGAGCAATGATACATTTTCGGTTCGACTGTGAGAGTCTGATGTTTGAACAATAGGCCGTGTTATCGCACCGATAACAGTGTTTATTCTTGTCGTGGACCTGTAAATCTACTCGGGTCGCTGGGAACTGTTTGACTAATACGTCATGTCATGGACTTTAATCCGTGCGTGTACTGGCCGTTTAAGTGCTCAGACAATGTATCACATTTCCTTTTAACGCACAAATACCGAACGTTTTCCGGCTTAATTCTACGATTGACGGGCTAGGACCGACGATCGCTTTTGGTCTCCGATGCGGGTCCGACCTCTGACCTTTCCCCGTTCAAATGGCGCTGTGTGACTATCCTCGCCGACCACTGACAGTCAGCTCTCCGCTCCGTCCACAGGTGGGTGCCGAAGCGCCCGCTGCTGCCGGTCCATTCACCCCCTCGGCCGGTCCCTCGGCGGCCGGAGGGGACTTTACAGACGGCCTGGAGGCAGCCATGCAGCACACGGACGCCGCCGTGCCGTTCCAGCCGACGGTGGACCGCGCCGCGTTCAGTGACGCGTGCGCAACGTATGAGCCGCCTCAGAAACATGTCGGTCCGGCCGCCGACCTGGCGGGCCGGGACAAGAAGGAAGCGCAGGTGAGAGCACGCGGCGGCGTAGTCGGTAGGACGAGTTCGTAGCGGGGAGCCTCAACCGCTAATGTGCTTGTCTTAATATGGTTAGTGCTAGAGATAGCGTTTTGCGTTGTGGCCTTAGTGGTCTTTCAACTTCATGTGTTGTGGTGTCATTCATGTCGGGTACGAGAGAATTGTCTCGGGATAAGTGTCTCGTACCCGTATTTAGCAATCAGTTGCAAAACGCTTCTTTCTAACGCTTGCTTATTACAACATTTTTTGGGTGTGTTTTAATCGCCTGCCTAGTTTCAAACGTCACGAACCCGTTTTCCGTGTTTGTATCACGCCACGGTCTTTGCTGCATTGTGATAAATCAGTCGACGTCCACTTATTCGTTTTGTATGGTCGATCATCTTGTTTGATTGCGACAATCGCTGGTCCTCGTGACACCGCTGATAACCACGTTGTGATCGATAATGACGCTCGCTCTGTCCGCCCCGCCAGCTGAAGGAGGAGCTGCGGTCCAGCTACTATCCTCTGGACCACCCCAGTCGACACCAGCTGTGGGCCAACATCTGTCAGATGCACGGCGCCACGCTGGGCCAGAACGAGGAATACGAGAGCACAGTCAGACAGCTGGAGGGGGAATTAGGTGGGTAACCAGGGGAAGATCACAATAGAGCGATGAAAAGCTAGAGATCGTAGATCGGTTATTGAGCCCTGGGTGAGAACGTTCCATGATGTGCGAGTAGTGGTGGGAATTTTGTGGCGGTAAACATAAGCACGCGGACACACGGGTGACTTTCCAAGTTGATTTAGAACACGCCACAGATGATCTATCAGTTAGTGTTGCGAAAGCGGTACGCACTCTATTTTTAGCTGTACCCTAAGTCCAAGTCCACTATTTATCGCCCCGCCTCTGCCATTAGTTGCTGAATCAGTCGACGCTTCCCCTTGTGTTGTGTGCAATGTTGGAAATAAGGCCCTTTGCTGGTTCCAGTCCGGTCCAAACCATTTTGTTCTCCTTTACAAATTTATACTCCGGCACCTGAAACCTCTTAAATTTCCCGCCTGTGTGATGAAAAACCCCTATTGTTACACCTAAAACATGCAGTTAAAGCATTGAGAGAACACATTTTATCAACTGTCACATATTTTAGTAGTCCAAACCATAGATAACATGAATCCTTCATGTTATCTATGGCCAAACATATGATTTTCCTGTTGAGTGTTTTACAAGCTGGCCGGTTCTCCGCACATATTTTATTATCCGGGACCAGGACCAAAATTCACAATTCCAACATTTGGTTGTGTGTGCTGTTGTTATTTAGGGTTGCACCGCTCTGACTGACGCTCCCTCCCGTCCTCCCAGGTCCGGCGCGGCGCGGGCAGCACCAGATGCCACCGTTCGTCCACTCGTTCTACATGAACCGGTACGCGCTGTCGGAGCGCGGCGTGTGGTCTGCCGAGCGCGTGATGGCCGTGCTCTACTACAACAACCCGACCATCACGTACGCGCCGTCCCTCTACCCGACCTGCTGTCTGCTGCTGCACTACATGGACGGTACGCGGTGTGGGCGGGGGATGGGGCGTTAGGGAGGGACTGTCTGCTGAGCTGCACTACATGGACGGTACGCGGCGATACGGGGCAGACTGGGGGGGGGGGGGGGGGGCTGTGGGTTTACGTATGTGCTGGTCGAGAGTGGCTTTGTGTCATTTATTGGCGATCAGTTTGAATCGCCTTCGCTGCTGTAGTGTATCGTGTATAGATGGTGTATACCGTACCATGAAAAGTGTACAAAGTGGACGCTTGGACGGGTATGGTAGCTGTGGTGCAATGGAATCGTAAGGGGTTGAGCCCTCAGCCAGCCAAATTTCGTTATTGAAGCCGGTGGTTTTACTCTCCTTCCCCTTGCAGAAGCCGATACGTACAACGCTTTGAGCATGATGCTGCGGAATAAGAAACAGGGCTACATTGTGCAAACGAAACGCGACTTCGAGATATCCTGGAAAATCCTAATCAAACTCTGCCGAAAACATGCCGTAAGTACAAATGACTGTTAGAGACCACGTCGATTTCCAAGCTCGTCTTAGGTAGTGTAGTGGTAGTATATGCATGGCACTATGCAATTAGGGTGACCGGTTTTGCAAAAAGTTTCGAAAATTTTGCTCCCCAGGTCTAATTACGGAGCGAGCGAAGCAAGCGGAGTCTTACGTAGAATAACGGAAATTTCTGAGTATGAGCGGCCGGCCGGCCGTGCGGACGCTTTTGCGAGGCTTATATCTCAGCAACCACTTGGCCGATTTACACGCGGTAATTTTTGTAGGGTAGCTTCATTCCTTCTACCAAGTATTGGACTATTCCCGATGCATGTGGGTGACCCCTTATGCACGTGCCACGTGCAAAACGAAGAGGTGTCACTTTTGTAATTGTTGCAATATCTCGGTAACTACTTGGCCGATTGCGCTGAAAGTTGGCATGTAGGTAGGCACCCACTAGGCACTGCATATCCATGTGCCAGAGTTGGGGTGCTGCTGCACGTGCGCACGTGCAGGGGTCGTTTCCAGATCTCGAGAACGGCTGGACCGATGGCGCTCAAATTTGGTACACGGTTAGGGACCAGTTAGTAGGGTGCCGTGCACAAGTCAGTGGGGACCCATTTTGCACGTGCGCACGTGCAGGGTGCCGCTTCCAGATCTCGAGAACGGCTGGGCCGATTGTGCTCAAATTTGGCACATCGCTAGAGACCGGTTAGTAAGGTGCCGTGCACAAGTCAGTTGGAGGTACCCCCTCGAAATTTCGCACGTGCAAGGCTCACCCTCTCGCTCGCTCCGTTAGTCGCCCCAAAAGGCGCTATACTGGTCTAACGTATTTGGGGGTGCTGATCACAAATCCGGCGGAAAAATATAAAATTCGATTTTTTTTTTACCGCCCCGGCTCTTTGATTATTTCCGGTTTTCTTATTTTTGCATGTTTTTTAATAATATGATGAATGTAATGAAAAAATATTAACAATGTATCGCTAAATGCATGTACCAGTCGATTCGGCATACAGCGGCGTCGAAATCGGCACGCGGCCTGCTTCACCGGCCTTCACAGTGAACGCAGTGTCATATGTTACTCAGATCAATCCACCTACTTTTGTTTGTTTTTGTTTTGTTGGGTTAGGCCCTTTCGGTCCAATTAGACCATTTCAGAGCCGGAAGGATGATAGGAATTAGGGGGAGACATTGGTCTGGGCAGGCACCCTAGTGAGTCGCCGGGGCTGAGCCCGTCCAGAGGACAGGCCACCCAGCCCCAAGGCACTCACTGCACCCGGCTACGGGGTGCGCTCCCTCAGGAGCAGCGGTGCCGCTCCAAGGGAGCAGCCCGCATGAGATAAAGTTGCCTGTCCAGCCCGGAGGTGGGTTGCGGCGTGAAGGAGAAGGATTTCAGTATCCTGAGGATAGAAGCACGGAACGGTGTATCCACCTACGTTCCTCGCTATTGTAAATGGCTCCCGAGCGCACTCCACCATTTCGCCAATTCACGATAGTCATTTATCCAATTCAACACTAGGTCTAAAATATGTCTGAAGTAACATAAAAATGAAGTGAACATTTCTGTCGTGCTTTGATAGACGTAGCATAACGACCACGACGGTCGCAAGTGACCGCCGGGGCTGTGAACGGCACGGCAACGACCGGCCGGCGGGCGGCTACGCCAGCGCCATCTATGGAGAGAATCGGGTAACTAACGCAAACCTTCCGAGCCTTATGCTTTCCTGCGAGGCCGGTGAAGCAGGCCGCGTGCCGATTTCGACGCCGCTGTATGCCGAATCGACTGGTACATGCATTTAGCGATACATTGTTAATATTTTTTCATTACATTCATCATATTATTCAAAAACATGCAAAAATTAAGAAAACCGGAAATAATCAAAGAGCCGGGGCGGTAAAAAAAAAATCGAATTTTATATTTTTCCGCTGGATTCGTGATCAGCACCCCCAAATACGTTAGATTAGACCTGGGGAGCAAAACTTTTCGAAACTTTTTGCAAAACCGGTCACCCTAATGCAATATGCATGAGAAGTTTGGACCTTTGTTTCACGCGTGCGTTGAAATGATCGAATAACACATGTTATAGCTGATGAGGTTGCCCTTTACAGGGTGGGGCAGCATAATCGGGAATGCTTTTTGGGCTCTGCTCATGAGTATGCATGGCAGTATTTTGATAAATTATATCATGGCAACGAAACGCCCAAAAGTTGTGCATCATCTGACATGACTACATCCATGAGCATGCAACTTCCTGGAAAAGAGCAGCAAAATAGTTCGACGGTGCTCCAAGTGCTTTGCGCGCGCCCATAGACACTAATGTTAAACGAGGAAAACAACATGATTTTGTTTAAAATCCTGCAATCCCACGTAAAGGTTGCTTGACAGGTCAACATGTTATCACGGACGATAAGGGTTGTGTGGGAATACTCAGGACAAAAGGTTAACGTAATCCTCGTAAAATAACTCTTAGCAGAGGACATACAGATGAATCGCTTGAATATCAGGAAGAAGCTCTTGAGCACATTAAAAAGAAACAATGTTCAAAACTTCCGCGGCCAAAAATCTCACCACCGACTGGAATACGATAAAAAAGAATGGCATACCATATAGGGGGTTGTATCGAAAATATTCCAGCGGTCATGCGAAGTAAACATCCTGATGGGGTAATGGTCCTATGGGTGGTCTTCAAGGGAGGTGCACGTGGTGCACCCTACTTCAACGAGCCCGGGTAAAATGAGCACCTCTGGTAAATACATCCGCACTCTGGCAGACTCGCGTGAAGCCGTCAGAAGAGAGGATCACTGACGGTTCAAATCACGTCTTACGAAGACTCTGTCCGTGCTGGTACTGCAGTGAGGACGACATGTTATTGTGTAGGGCACCTCCAGCTGAGATGAACCAAAAACTTCTGGTCCTCCAACTCCGCCGATTTAAATCCGATCAAATTCTTTACATGGAGCGTCTTTTGGTAGAAGGTTAATGAACAACTTATCATCAGTAAAGACGGTCTTCAGTGCAAGGTACGAAGCTGATGGGCGATCATGGACAAGCAGGAGGTTGCACGTGCATGCGCGTGCTTTTGGACCCGCCTTGAAAAGGTCATCGATGCCGAGGGCGGTCACATGGGATGAGGGATAGGTAAAAGGTGACCGATTGATGGGATGTTGCTAAAACAGTGCTTGGAGCTGTATTTTTAAATTTATGACCAAATAATCCCGTTTGATATTTATTCCCGATTATGCTGCCCCACCCTGTACGTTCCCACGCTGGAACATTGTATCATTATTATTTGGCCCTATGTTGCGCCGGCTGGCTGTCCGCCTTCCTGCCAGTGTCTGACTTGTTATACTGTATGACACCATACTGACCGCCTTCCCTCCGCCCCCGGCAGAAGACCAGCGTGCACTTTCTGCAGCAGGAGGCGCGCGCCGGGGAGAACGTGGACCACGTGCTGGCCGACTGGCTCGCCTGGCTCTTCTGTTTCCTGCCGTTCGCGCACGCCGTCCGCCTCATGGACTGCTACCTGATGGAGGGCGAAAAGGTCAGAGTGGGGCTGGGCAGGGAGCGGAAACCGAAGCGCAGGAAAATCTCTGGAAACGTGCTTAACATGAATCATGCCTTTATTCATCGCCGGAATCACCGCTTACATATGAACTTTCATTACGTTTTACTAATCACTGAGTCGTGGCCCCTGACATCTGACTTCTAGCCTCTGATCTGATATCTGACCTTGACATCTGGCCTCTGACCTTCGACCACTGATCACTGTGTGTGTCCCGACAGGTGTTGTATCGGGCCGCCATGGCTCTGGTACTTCTGGTGCACAAGATGGCCTCCAACAACCTGGGCGAGTGGGGAAACTCCTTCAAAGAGAACACCGTGCAGGAGGTCATGGAGAAGTTCTGCACCAACATGCAGGTAGGCATGCCGAGCTCGATGGCTTGATGGCGCGTGGCACGTCGAGCGCCAAGACCATACTTTTACAGAAATCTATGTCATCCTACGGTCTTTTGTCCCTCCCTTTTGATACATTTTTAGGATTAAAATGCTAGTAGTAAAATTCAGTTTCGTCATTTTTACTGTGCTATTTTCCTTAAGAGTTCGGTCACAGCAAATAGTCGCGTATTTATCGCAATCAAATTGTTAGCAGTTCTCAGGCTGCACTCCTTGCGCAGATTCGTGCTGTTTGAGAAACGGAGAATACTGCGTGATTCGATGCCTTTTCCCTAGTCCCGCACCCAGTCTGACTCCTCTGCCTATCCTCCCGACAGCTGGGTCCGGAGAAGCTGCTGAAGACCATGTTCGGTATCCGCGGCTTCAGTCGGGACTCCCTGACGGCCTCCTACGCCAGGGTCAAGGCGCAGATCAAGGCGGGAGGGGGCCGGCTCAGCTTCCCCGAGAGAAGGTCAGAAGGGTCAGTGGGAGGTCAGAGGAGTCACTGGGGGGTCACAAAGGGATGAGAGGGTTCACTGGAAGGTCAGAGGGTCACTAGAAGATCATAGTGGTCACCGGGAGTCGGAAGGTTTGTGGGAGATCAGAGGGGTCATCGGAGGTCATAGGGGTCAGTGGCAGGTCAGAAGGTCGCCAGGAGGTCGGAGGATCACCGGGATGTCTGAGGTGTCGCTGTGAGGCCACAAAGGTTACTTATAGAGTAGGATGGCCAGTGGCCACCGCTGAAGTCAACACACCAACTGGAGACTGGCCTGTAGCGTCTGACCTCGCGCCATCCCCCGCCAGGTGTAACCGCACCTTCTCCAAGCAGCAGTCGAACGCCGGCGGACTGGGGATGCCCAGTGTCATGTCGCAGGACGAGCTGGCCGAGGCTTCCAGCACCATCGGAGTCAAGGAGGTGAGTCCGGGCCGCCGGCCTGGTGCTGGTGTGTGGTGATTGGTGATCGTCCGGGTGTGTAGGTGATGACCGTCCTGTGCTGATATGTGGTGATACTGGTGAAGGAATCGTGTCGTGACTGGCTGTGGGGACTGGTGACGGGATGTCTCCCGGTGTGTGTGCTTCTGATGCATGGTCCGATAATACGGGAACGGTGATGGCTCGTTCGTTCGTTCGTTCATGTACTCACGTTAATCCGCCTTCGCGGCTTTTCATTAACGTAATGTCACAGGCATAACAATATGGTACGGATACAGAGCAAGCGCATAATCATTAACACTTTTTAAAAACAAATTGCATATGCGAGCGACAGCCTCAGTCATTTGGACTGCTTTTGCAATGTCCTCGGTGCTCGTTTGAATGAGACTCTGCCATCGTAAACAGCACAAAATTGGTTGTGGGCCTCTACAGCTCCGTACACCAGCTGTCTCCTAACCGCCTCGGTACGTATTCCCGGGATTCGTAATCGATCAGCGTTCCGTGTGTCCTGACCATGATCGGCAGCACTCACCAAGGTACTGGTGATTTCCTCCGGGTGACCTGAGTCCACCATAAGCCGCACGCTGCACATTCTATGGTACAGTACCAGGCTATCTACGGTCATCCATCGTAACTCGCGCAATGCGTCAGATATATGGTCTCGCCTGCGCCGCCCACTGATCATACGTGCGCAAAAGTTTAGCACTTTTTGTAGCCTGCGCCGCTCGGTAGCACTGCAGGTGCCGTACACAGAAAGGCAATAGACACCACCAAAGAACACCACCAAAGAAGTCACAATCGGTTTCATAGTACTAGTGGGCAGTACATGTCTGGCTTGGTTTAAAGCTAGCAGTAATCCATTACATTTCGAAACTACATGGCTGACATGTCTACCAAAAGTTAAATGTTTGTCCATGACCACCCCGAGATTTCTCACAGTTTCCGATTCATTTACAGTGGCTCCAGCAAACCTAACGCTGACCGGTGGCATGCCTCGCAGCTGCTGCTGTCGTGTGCCGAACACAATCAGCTGACTCTTTGAAACGTTCACCTTCATGTCATTTGTACAAAACCAGGCGAATAGCCTTTACGGCGCCTTTTCCATCGTAGATATCAATTCATTCAAAGCAGCCTTCTTACTGGACAACTAAGAGCCGAGTGTCATCAGCGAACTGTACAATACTGACTTCAGGCACATGCAGGCACATGTCATTTGCGAAAATGGCGAACAAAAGACAGCTGAGGGATCCACCCTGATAGACGCCGGTTGTAATGGGAAGTGACTTTGATAATGTACATGATCCGTCGGCGTTGCGAATTTTAACCTGTTGCGAATGTCCATGATGGTAATGGAGGTAATCCATGGAAGACAAATGTTGTAGAAGTGAAGCTTCTCAAGTAGTTTGTCATGGCATATGACGTCGAAGCACTTCGATAAGTCGAGTAGGCTTAAAATGGATATCTCGCCTCTGTCCATCGCCCGGTGATAGTAGCAACGGTCGTGGAGGACGCCGGTTTAATGTGTGCTGTTCACAAACTTTTCCTTTCAAGCACTCGAAACTTCTCTTTCAAAACACTCTACGAAGATGGACGAGTTTTTACCAGGAATTACAAAGCGGCGCAGTTACTGAAGCTGCGTTATCTGTTAAGGCTGCTCGCCTTCATTCAATGCGACTTTGATCGCTCGTATAAAAGTCGTATTCAATTAAAAGTTGTATTGTATTCCCCGTTCCAAACACAGCATCGCGCTGTTTGTCTGTAATTCGATAGTGTCCGCTGTCTTTAATTCCCTACCATACGTCCTTGCGATCATACTGACATTTCATTAATTGCCATTTCATTTCATACTAATGTGTTTGTTTGGTGTCGGTGCGCTCCCCCCCCCCCCCCCCTCACCGGGTAAGTGTGTCTGGTGACGGCTCCACCCCGCCCCCTTCCCTCCATCGAGGGGCACTCTAACCATTGCATATCTGTCCGCAAGCGTTCGGCTAAGTTCCCCCATCTGAAGAAGCCCGAATCTACACTCATGAGTTACGAGGAAGTGAGTAACCGGTGATGTAGTCGTAGCATGTTGGCTCACTGTAGCGCCTGTATTCTGGCCGTATAATTATACCGCTGCATAAAGCGGACTGATGGCGACTGAGAAGGCCGGCCTAGTGCTGCCGGTCTTGCGGCTAGCTCGCCGCTGTGGCACACAAGCACGGTGTGCTCCGAGCTTCGGAGCACACCGAACCCAGCCGGCCGCGTAGCTTTGCCTGATTTGCTGCTACGCAAGAATTGTTTTCTCTCGCCGTTTTGTTTTATACTGCTTTTATGTCGTATTTCATGCGCAGAGATTAGAATGTGCTATATTTTTATTTGATGTTTTATGCATTTGTAAGTAACGGAAGTCGGCAGCCTTCCCAGTACATGGGTGCCTCGTTTGGATAGCTTTGCAAAGTGTGTATGGCGCTGTTCAAACACTTGCCTTGACATATGCATTGACCTGCTGTTTCGTGTGCATGCGTTGTGGACATTAGGCAGCGCCTTGCATGTGCTTGCGTATGACTTGTTAATACCTACCGTTCGCTCGCAGCACGCTTGATTATTAAACTTGTCGAACTTTACCGTCGGCACCATCGGTAATTGCAGCGTTCCACCCTTGCCATTTCTTTTAAGTAGTTCGATCTGCCGTATGGGTCTTCCCCTTATCGAAGTACCTACCCTGTCTGTATAAGATAATGCTTTATTTTATTTTTAATGTGTCTGACATGTATGAATATTGTTCGTGAATTGTAAGTTTTAACATTGTACTTCATTATGTTTATCCATTCATTTGTGACACTTGGCTGACTATTCAGTTGAGTTGACATTGGCTCCAGTGTTTCTATGTTTGCTTTTGATAAACTTCATTAGCATTCTATTCGCTGTGTGCGCTAGCTGCGGTTCGCCGCTGCTCTGGCTGATGCCGTGTACGAACATCGTGTCCGTGTATGTTGTGTGTGGGGTGTGCCGGTCAGTGACACCTCCCTGCCGCAGCTGCTGCGTCTGTGGGAGAACCTGCCGGCCCGCTACGCCCTCTACACTCCTCTGCTCATCTACACCACCGACGAGCACGGCTTCTCGCTGAAGACGTTCTACCAGAAGGTGGCCACGTTCGAGCCGACCGTTCTGCTGCTGCGCACCACAGAGGGCGCCGTGTTCGGCGCCTACTGCTCCGTCACATGGAACATGCGCAATGAGACGCAGGAGGACGGCACCCGGCAGCGCTACTTCGGCACCGGTCAGTAAATGACTGCGACAGCTGAGCACCGATTGCGATTACCGACTCATAGCAAAAATATATTGATACTGCAATGTGAACGTTCATGTTTAATAAGTTTTTCCTTGGTCAAACTGCCGTGCATGATTTTTTTTTTTTTTTTGATTCATTAATATGTATGTTATTCCGCTTTCGTTTCCCTGGTGCAGCTTGCGTCTAAGCTCGATATAGTAACCCACGCAGTAAGGTTTGTCGTTTTACCCTCGCTGTGTTCTGCGCCAGTGACAGCCGTCACAGTCGTCAGCTGCTAACCTGCGTCCTGCCCGTCTCCGACAGGTGAGACGTTCCTGTTCACGCTGCGGCCCCAGCTGAAGGTGTACCCGTGGGTGGGTAAGGTGCGGCAGGCAGAGGACCCCGAGCTGGCCGGTCTCTCTCACTCCGAACAACTCTTCATGGCTGCCGACAACACCATGGTAACGATCGGCGGCGGCGGCGGACAGGCCATCTGGCTCGACGAGAATCTAACCCGCGGCAAGACGGACGCGTGCCAGACGTTCGCCAACCCGCCGCTGACACCGACTGGTAGTTTTGAGGTGGCCTGCATGGAGGCTTTCGCCTTCTCTCCGGCCTGAGCGGGGATTGTCTCTGAGGTACGGGCCAAGACGGGGACGAGAGGGCCCTCCGCTTGGCATGGAGCAGCCAGGTGTGGCAGGGGAGAGATACGAGAAGTCAGGGTGAGAGGGTAGAGCTGTCGTGTGTTCCGAGCCCGGTGAGATCCCTTAGCGTTGCGCATCCCGACTCGGGAAAGCGCATACTGGTCTTGGTGCCCTTGTGTTTTTCTTTGGGTAGTTTGAGTGATTCGGTTGTCAGGATTTAGCCTGAATCGGCGGCTGGGAGACACTGCATGAGCACGTGGCTGGGAGGAGAGGGAATAAGCGTTATGTTAGATGTTTATTAAGAATTGGAAATCGTGACTGTGAATAATCACAATCGAATTTACAAACCTAGATTAGACTGTAGACATTTACGCGCTAGATATGAATGATGCGTTGTGTAGTTTTAGCGTTGTGACTTGGTCTGTATTGCCTTGAGTATTTATATCTTTATATTAGGATGTGTTTTGTGTCCGAAAGTACATTCCAGGCATTATCGTAGGCTGGGACATCAACAATGTGTAATGTGTAGGTTATCCGCCGCCCAAAAGGCATGAACCTGAAAATTTTCCAAATAAGTGTCGCGATAGTTTGTCATAGCTGAGATATTTACTGGATGGGACGAAATCGTCACTATTTGCCCCTGATTACTGGGGTGTCGCTGAAATATAAGCACGTGGCGGCGGAGGGCGGTCAGGGCTCGTCGCCGTATTGTGATCGTGCGTCCGGGAAAGACTACACCTTCTCTGTAGCACCAGTGTCCTTCCGGCCACAGCTGAGCCGCGAACCGACGTCGAGCAATAACCTCTGTGGCTGGAGACGAGTGCAGTCGGAAAGCGAGCGCGTCCCTGTCTTCCTGGGACCGATGTCTAACGCCCTCCCTGCGGCCCGTGAACGTCCTTAAAACCGCCTGTGTGTAGTGCCATCAGTTTGTGTCTGTGTGTGTTTTTTGCCGTGAGTTGTCCTTCATTGTCTGTATTTGCTTGTCCACCTGACGTAATATTGTAATTGTCGCTTCTCGGTCGATGTCGGTAGTGTTTGTCCACAGTACCTAACCGTAGTGCAGGGTGTGACCGATGGGGCGGACGACTGTAATCAGACCGCTCTGGATATTATATCGCGGCGGGGCGGGCGGCGGCGACTGTGCGTACGGTGTCTGGGTGTGCCCAGACCGGCAGCTAGTGACCTACCCCGGTGGCTGTGAGTCGGAATGGGAGAGCTGCCGACCGGCTCGGCGCCGCAGTGCAGCCCTCGGGCTTTTGCCGCTTTTTTGACGTGGCCCTGATCCGATCTCATAAGCCGTGTTTTGTTGCGCTGACCTCTGTGGCTCTAGCCGCGTCGCTCTGTCGCCTTCGGGCGGCCCCGACGGCACGGTTCCACCCGCTATTGGCACGCGGGGCGGGGCGAACTTGTTGTGTTCAGTTGACCTTATTGACCGGTGACCATAAACTTCAAAACACCGCCACCATGCTGGAACTGACGCAACTCATCACACAGCCCACACGAATATCGGAAAACAGGAGTAACCTACGAGACCTGATTTTCACAAATAACACACAAATAGTAGAAGACAGTGGAACATTGTCCCCATTCACAAACATTGACCACTTCCCCATCTATGTTTCTATTAAAACGTCAAATACACTGTATACAAACAAAGACACTGGCGTGACCATGTGGGACTACTCAAGACTCGACTCAGATCTACTAACAAGACTGTTGCAGAACACAGACTGGGAGGACATTTTAAATGACGACATTGACAAAGCGACCGATAGATTCATAGCCACCCTTCTCTCTGCAGCAAAAGCGTCCATTCCACTAAAAACGATCCGACATAGACCTGACCAGAAACCTTGGATGACCACAACATTGAATAGAAATATAAGGAAACGCGACAGACTCTTCAAACAAGCACGAAAATTACAGACAGAAAGCGCTTGGGAACGCTGGAAACATCAAAGGAATTTTGTTACATCTCTGAACAGGCAAATTAAGAAGCAGTACATAGAACGTAAAGTGACAATGCTTATATCCCAAAGACGTGACCCTCGGAAGTACCACCAGACGTTACGAACCATAACAGGCCGGACACGTAATGACAACATCCCACCTCTTGAAAGGCCAGACGGAGAAATAATTACTGACGACTACGCGAAAGCAACACTTTTAAACAACTATTTTTCAGACCAGGCCAAACTCGACATAGACACAGAGTTGCCCATACCAAGAGATGAGCCAGAAATAATGCCGGTGCCCACTCTAGGAGAAATAAAAACATCCGAAAGAGAAGTCCTACAGTTCCTAAATTCATTAGATGTAAACAAAGCAACCGGACCTGACGAAATACCTGCAAAACTTTTAAAACTAACAGCCGTACTAATCGCAGAACCATTGTCAAAACTGTACAATAAATCACTTGCACTTGGTATTTATCCCTCTAAATTCAAAGAAGCAAACGTAAAACCTATATTCAAAAACAAAGGCTCTCCATCTGAAGTCAGCAACTATCGGCCCATTAGTCTCTTGTCATCTTTATCTAAGGTTTTCGAAAAAATAGTACACAAACACATCTACGACCATCTTTCCCAAAACAACCTTCTAACAGACAAACAGAGTGGGTATCGGAGAGGCCACAGTGCCGAACAACAGTTGCTTTATTTCACTCATAACTTGTACCAATCATTAGACTCAGAACACGACTTCACAGCAATCTACCTCGATATATCAAAATACTTCGACAAAATTTGGCATACAGGACTCCTATACAAATGCAGACATGACTTTGGAATCACTGAATCTCTTCATGACTGGCTTAAATCATACTTATCAGACAGACGGCAACGAGTAAAGATTGACGACACTTTTTCAGCAACCGAAATTATAAACGCTGGCTGTCCGCAAGGATCCGTCCTTGGACCACTTTTAGCCCTTATATATCTTGACGGACTTTCGACGAAGACACATAACGACATTCTCTTCTTTGCTGACGACGTCTCTATTTACACATCCTACTCAACAGCAGACACTATCAAAGCACAGGCATCATTACAAAAGGACCTTGATGCAATATACAAATATGGACAGGACTGGGCAATAACTTTCAACACAAACAAGACAAAACAACAAACATTTTCACTAAAACAAAAATACACTTCGCCAACCCTAACATTTGGAAACGATAGGATACCACAATGTGACAATCATACACATCTCGGAATGACATTTTCAAAAGACTTGCGCTTCCATCAGCATGTAAATGAAATTTGCAAAAAAGTACAGAGAACATTGAGTCCACTCTACCCTATTGCACCATACATTCCCAGAGACATTCTTGACGACGTTTATAAAACATATGTGAGACCTCACTTTGACTTATACGATACCATATATGACGGACACTTGACAGCACAGGACGCATATAGACTAGAGACACTTCAAAACAGAGCGGGAAGACTAGTTACCGGTACACTATATAGAACACCAACAGATAAATTATTATATGACCTGGGGTGGAACAGACTCACTATTCGAAGGAAAATACACAAACTATCGTTGTACCATGCATTCACACATAGCCAACATACACCTGCATATATCAAGTTAATCATACCGGCCACTCGCATCCAACAAACTGGCAGAACGCTAAGAAACGCGAGTAACCACACGATCACAGCAAACCGTACCACATCCTATCAATCCTCATACTTCCTTTCAACCGGCAAACTATGGAACGGGCTCCCAGAATCAATTAGGTCATTACCCCATACATCCTTTAAGCGAGCGATTACCGAGCGGCTGGGAGTATCCAAGCCTCCAAATTATTACAAAATTGGATCCAAGGAAGGAAATGCCCTTCACACCAGATTAAGAACAGAAATGTCATTATTAAATTCACATCAGTTCCAGATAAACAAGTGTTCGACCACTGCTTGTTCATGTGGTTACCCGACGGAAAACGTTCGTCATTTCACATTATTTTGCCAAAAATATGAACACCAAAGAAATCAACTCTTTCGAGACGTTTTGCATATTCTCGGCGATGTCACTAACAACCAACCACTCGATTCCAACCTGACACTTCGGTTGCTCATTCATGGAGAAACTCTTGGCGACGGGGATGGGCGGCGGGTGGCACACCACTTCCAAAGATTCTTGATTAACTCAAATAGATTTAGTCAACAATAACACTTTCTTTAAAATCAACCTTAGTTTTTCATTGATTTTCAAATCTGTGACCTTGGTGCTGTCCCCGCGGGCCGGCGCGCGGTCTGCATTCATCCCAACCGCTCATCGGTGACCGGGTTGGCGGCGGCGGTGTGATTAGCAGCAATTAATTTCATTTCCTTTACAGAGAGGTGCCTAGAATTAAGCGCTTGGCGCTTTTGCACCAATCTGCTATTATTTTTTCGAAACGCCTTGTATAACTATTAGTTTTCTACTTACGTTTCTCTTTTTGGTAATACGTGTTGATTAATAAACATTCTGTGTGTGTGTGTGTGTGTGTGACCTGTGTGCACACGCAGACTGCATGAGCTGACCGCTCGTCCTGGTAGCTGTCTGGAAGTTCTGGTGTCAGCCGGGACCCACTATTCCCAACAATACATGCCAATGTGTGCTTAGCTGTGGACATGGCCCGTCTTACATGGTAGTTTTCTGACCGGGAGGGGCAATCGCCTCAGGCGACGACTCCGGCCGCCGTGTGGTAACAACCGTTACCTGTTACCCTGGGAGACCCCGATGGCGCTGCACTCTCCCGGTTGTCTATCCCCGAGTCACTAGGGCAACACCGCTGTGCAAAGTTTCAGTTTGTCCACTCTGTTGATTGTGAGGATAGGCGAGTGTCCGCGATACGGTGTGTGTTTGGGACCCGGATAGGACGATGAAATAGTGGACCCGCGTGGACAATAACCCTGATCGAGTAATGGCTTTTGTTGCGCGATGTCGTGTAACACTACGGGCCATATTGTGTTCGTATTATTACTTCGCAGGCTTCTTTTCTGTTGCTGTTTATTTCCACAAAACTTGACTTTGCTCGGAGGGTACTTCATTTCCAGACTGATAACGCGCATACAGCTTGATGTCAAGTGCAAAGTGCTAGTCGTGGAATAAATAAATGTCGTGGAATAAATACTCAGCAGAAACTATGTGTTGTTCAGAGAAGCGTAGACTGACTAGTGACCGTTTCGTGTCAGTAAAACTGTCGTGCGCCTTACGAATATGACTACTTCAAGCTGGGGAGCTTGCCTGGATACCTTGTGGGCTGTCGGGCGGACGGGGAGCGGCTCAGGGTTCCGACCGCGTTTGGTAGCACCCACACCCGGTCGACATCCAACGGGCAGAGCTGCGCATTGCTTGTGCGACGAGTTGATGCGCACTGACATGGATGCACAAGGAAAAGTCATGACGGGTATAACTTACGGGATGAATGTCGCTGGTTTCATTGGAGCCTCACGAGGTAGTTGTTTGTTTTATACTACCCTCACTTTGAGTCCAGGTTTTGAGGACGGCGTGTACGTTGTAAGTACATACATGCTTTTACCTGAGCACACCGTCCAGCCCTCTGCTGCCACTCTGACGCCATCCCCCAGTCCCCACGCTCAGGGTGCTGATACTCTGGCTGACAACAGCGGTTCCCTTGTCCTGCTGTGCCTCACCGTTTGCTGATCGACCTGACTCCTGAGACCCAGTCCCAGTCGGGCCAACGGCCACCAGGTCTTGGTTGACATCACGACTTCGCGTTCCCTTGTCCGCGCTACGCCACACTCCGAGCTGGCGCCTGGTCTTACGCCCAGGCGCCACCTCTGCTACATACTCCCGCGGGGGCGCTACACTTCGCTGCGCAGCTGCCGTCTGCGTTTCGGAGATCTGACTCTGGAGATCAGCAGTTCCAGCGCCAGGACGATCAGACTGAGGGCGACTCCGAGAGGGACGAGACACAGGAAGGCCAGCAGGTTGCCAAATGACAGCTCTCGGTATCCTGCCTGCGAGCCACACTCGGCCCGTCCTGCGGATCGAGCAGAGCTCTTGAGACGCAATAGTGTACCCGTCTCACGCAACTTCAGCAGTGTAGCAGTAATGACCTGCTTGAGAGCGCATCGATTTTTTGCAATTGACAGGTAGACTGGATTAGGTTTGACCGGTGAACTTTGTAATGGGATGAAGTTACAGGCCTCGTCACCGATGAAGTGATGCAGGAGGCTTAAATCAAAGAAGGCCATGACCTGTGGCTGGAAGGCTTGTAGCATGCTCTTCTCCGTCTTGTATATCGAGATGAACCTGTCGCCGGTCGTAGAGCGTCGGTACAGCTCGCGCTCGAAGCTGTCGCGGCTCGATCTGAGTTTGTTCAGTTTCTGCGAACCGGCGGGTATTGCCAGAGTCCAGGCGGGCTGTTGGACGAATTCGCGCACGCTGTTGATGGGCCGACCGACCGTGTGCGTCGTTAGAAAGGACATCAAGTTGGCCGTGTAATTGACGTAGATCAGGATTGCCATCATCCAGCCAAAGATGGTGACAGTGCGTCCAGCCAGCGACCGCGGCGTCCTGTCCCAGCCCTGTCCTAACACAGTCATGGTCATGGCAAGCAGACACGAGCCCCAGCCCATGTCGCGCACCAGCCGGCCGTCCTCGGCTCTGGCGCTGTTGAACCGCAGCGAGAGGCGCAGCACCAGCGAGAGCGCCAGCAGCGCGGCGGCCAGCGTCCACCACACGTCGGCGCCCAGCGGCCGCAGCAGGCTGGCGAACATCGCTAGCGACAGGCTCGGCGCCGCCTCTGAGTCCCTCCGCACCAGAAACGTGGTGCTCTCGGACCCCATGGGCACCCCGTCCAGGAAGTCGACCACAGCAGCCCGCTCCGGAGTGGGGTTCAGCAGTGTGAGCGCCACGTCGGCGCGCCCGTAGGCCAGGTCCCCCACCACGCCGGTCCAGGTGCCGTTTGAGCTCAGACTGCCGTATCCGGGACTGAGCGGAGCGGACATCCGGTAGCTGAGACCAAGCTCGTCGGCTACGATCTGCCACAGCTGGAACAGGTAGCCACTGTAGGTGACAGAGCCATTTCGGTGCTGCTGTGCGTAGATGCTCGGTGGGTCGTGGATGGTGACGACTCGCAGAGGCACGTCCGACGTGTTCACGAAGGGACGCCGCACCGCCGACCATTCCGTTCCCAGCAGGGTCAGACGGCCACGGCGCTCCATCGCAGCGGCCCAGGAGGTCGGCTCGTCAGTGACCGCAGCCGACTGAGCCGGGCCGCGGCCGGGACCCAACTACCATCGCCCGGAGGCGCCGTGTGGTCGATTCGTCGGCATTAGGAGCGCGTATATAGAGTCATTAGGTACTGAGGGGCGCAACGACGTAGCTGTGCGCAGTTTTCATCTCTCTCTTTACAGCGGCCTATATATGATAACCCCGCCCGATGGAACGAGTCGATATGGTGTTGCTCGATTAGCTTATGATATCGGGGAGAGCCTGCAGTTTTCGAAAGGGCATCACAGGTAGATATCAATCACACCTGGCAAGACGTGCCCACCAAAAGACATCACTAGTCACTGTTGCACAAAGTTTCGATTTTTTACAGAATTTTTTCATTGTTTTGAAAAAAGTGTTGTAGTTTAAACGTCTATTTGGGGGGAATATTTCAAACCCGATTTTTGACAGTGATTTAGGCTATTTATTTATAGTCACCGTGGATTTAGGCTGACTTGGTCTTTTGAGCAGTGATAGTGTGACACTTTTTACATATACGACGTGCCTGTGACAAATTTTATTATTGAATTCTTGGTGCACACGATTTCAAATCAAAATATTTTGGTTTACGCAAGGCTGGCTTGCGGATCATTTTGACTGACGACTTTACGGCCTAGGCACCGACTTGGCACCGACTACCAGTAAGACTTTCCTATTTATGCAAGGTGATTTGAGTTTGAGTTCAAGTTAACACCGTTGTAAGTTAGATAATTCGCCTTTCACTTTGGGCTTCATGTTTTGAGTTTATGATTTGTGTCAGTGTGTTATTATATTTGGTGAACAATTTTTATGACTGTATAATTCATTTATGGACACCCACTAGTCACTCAAAGGAGGACACTGAACGAATGTGGGTGCATGTGTAAGTTATGAACTTTTATACACATCCAAATTTCCTATGCATCCATTCCATTGTTTTGTCTCCAATTGTCTGATCTCAGTCGGTGACACACCAGGGAAATAAGCTAAAATTAGAGCGCTCTATTTATTGCTTCCGCTACTTTACCGTCTCCCATAGGGTCCTGTGTTGAGCTGGTGTCGAGGCTCTTAAAATGACGCCGATTTTTGCACCCTTCTCACGAAAACCGCTCGGACCGCCTGGAAACTAATTGTTCCGCTCTAAAAATTTCATGATCGACGGGAAAATGAACGAGGAAAAGATTAGTCCTGAAATAATTCTGAACTCCCTGTAGAACTTATCGAAATATGGCTGCAAACTAGGAGCATGTCAAAATCGACAAAACAATACAAATAAGCTTACCGGGATTTTTTTATTTTCCATGCATCTGTGCATAAAATCAGTCGCTTTTTCGGAAAGATCATCTTCTGTTTAATAAATAATTCCACAATTGCAATCGAGAAAAAAAAAAACATTTCTGCTGTGACAGCAGTTTTGGCATTGTGCCAGTTGTGCGGCGTGCTCGGTGCTGCGTGGTCGTTGGGACGGAGTTGTGAGTATTTTCGGTGTTTTAAATGGTTGATGGCCATTTGAACCAGCTTTATATTATTTCCTACCAAATTTTGCATCAAATTATTGCTTTGAAAGACCATTGAAACCCCTTATCTCTTCATGAAACACGATCATATTTATCGTCGACGAAAATGGCGTGGAACTCCATGTGCGTTCCGATCGAAATAAATCGTAAATTAAATAATATTCGATGATAAGTATCATATTCTAGTGACACATTTTCATAAAATAAGGCATAAACTTTGCAAGGAAGTCAACATTGGATAATTGGATTCTTATTTTGCTCACATATCCTTGTGTAGTCAAATGGCTCAATTGTTAGGTAAATGTAAGCATATGTTTTGGCTTGATGTTTGCTGTGAAACCACCCAGCCACTTGCTGGTTGAGTGGTTTTCTGATAATTACCTGATAATCATTTCTCCTTCTCCTTAAAAGAAACAAATTCTTTTCAAAGTAACCCATTTTTAGGAAAGGCGGCTTGCTCATTGACATTTCATGTTCTTGTTTTGTTATTGCTGGCAGTATTTTGATACAATAATGCAATATGAATTTTTTGCAATAATAAAACCTAAGACAAACTTAGTTAATGTGTCAATCAAACACCCAACAGAAAGATTGTGAGTCCTTGTGACCTGAAGTAGACTATTCTATGAATGTGTTTTATAGAATATGCCAAATTTTAAATTAATTTATTATTTGATACTGATAGCTGATCATGTGAATTATGCCACAATATAATTTCATTTTCTGGTTTTGAAATAGCCAGCAGTATTTTACTTCAACAAATGTAATATACATGGAATACATGTTGTTATGTTATGTTAAAAGTTTAATAACAGCCAACAGAAGGGGCTGTTTCAGCAGATTGTTTGTACCTCATGCATTACCTTTCTTTTCTGCAGGACCATGCTTCTGCTGGGTGGTCAACATTTGCCTCCTGAAGAAGTTGAGCAACATGAAGACCACCAGATGAGGTGTCTGCAGTTCATGTGGAACTCTGCAGACTACAAGTGTTATGCCAACCACAACCAAAGTGCTGAGATCATGGAGGCATGAACCTCATGACAACACTTCAGATTTGCAGTTGTACCAAAGTGTGATACAAACCACCTGTGGCATCTCACTCAATGTGTGAACAGTGTGATCATTGCGCAATGTTCAGCTGCAACTAAGACATTTATTAGTGACTTGTTTTGCTAGCCACCAAAAGCATTTTTGGGCTGGCTGCTGTAATTTGTTGTGCACTGTGCAATAGTGGTAGTGTTTTGTCACTTGTCAAGTTGTCAGTTGTGCATGTTGCATGTTTCTCTCCCCTCTGCCCTCATTATCAGTTACGTGGTGAATTGGCATCACTCAGTCTCCCCAGATCTCCATTGACTGTCTGTCAACCACCTAACTTGAGATGGTATTTGCTAATAGTGTCAGAAAAGAAGTGCTTGTAAACATTTTTAGGAATATGAGCTCCGTTTCATGCGTGTTCCAGTGGCCATTTTGTCACAAGTCCCATAGTGTAATAAATGGAAACTGTTGTTCACTTTTGGAGGTACTCGCGGATGCGGAAAGCGTTGGGCCTAATTATTAAACGCACCCTCCTATCAGCGACGCACGAAATCGACAAATATCATCCTTTTTAGAACAGGAGGAAACGAAAACTTGTGAACATAGCTGTACCTACAACAGTGCATAAGGAATTTAAATTCTGGGAGTTTTTGAAATTCGGAGAAACTCAAGTTGTCGACAGGTATGCCCCCTTGTACGTCAAAGACCGCCTAAAAAACAAACGTCTACAAAAGAAGGCGGTATTCGTATGTTCGTTGTAATTGCAGCAGCCTAGCAACATGCATTGCGGTCCGATGGCGAATTACACTCGTGCTCAAAAACTATGCCGGCAACTGCCAATGCACTTAGGTCGTAAGTGAGGAGAGGAAGGGTTATGTCAAATGTCAACATCATAGAAATGGCTTCATCTATTGAGCTGTGCCTATTGTACATAATTCAACCAATCTATGCATTTCGTTTCTTGCAATCTACTCATGCTTTCACTCCAGCTTCAGAGTAATCATCCCATATTGTACGTCTTAAGATATTGATTTCTATGGCGGTTTGCAATTGCTAGCCACGTCTTATCTCAGTTTGGTGGCCCCGCATCGGTCCACTCGGCCGCTCTAAAATTGACTTACGGAGGAGGGTGGTGGCTTTTATTTTAGCTTCTCCGCTGACCGCGGGGAGCGCCGTCGCCGAGGTAGGAGCAATTATTAGCTTATGTTTGGGACTAATTTCCACGCTTAATTAACATTTTAATGTTATTTTAATTAATTCATGTAAATATTTGACGCATTCTCTTTCTATTGATACCATCCACCGGTCTGAGAAGTACTGTCTTGCTGCGTAAGGGCCGATAAAAGATCACGCTTTTAGGGGTATCTCTTCAACATGGGGCAGGAGCAATAAAAAGAGCGCTCTAATTTTAGCTTATTTCCCTGGTATGTCACCAACTGATCTGAGCCCTGAGAGGGCTGTTCACACCTCACGGGCACCACACACACTGAGTGTGGTATGTGCGGTGTGTGCAGCGGGCATGGGGCCGGGGGTTGGGGATGGGTATTCAATATGCCACACGGTTGCGTGCAGTGGACCGCACACAGCCATCCCTGTGGCCAGTTCCGACCGACCACAGCGGTCGCTGGACGGAAGACGCAGTGGGCGGAGCTTGGAGCCTGTGTACGTATCTACCTCACAAAGAGCATGTGAGACATGAACAGCCCTCATGTATCAGTTGGAGTCATGGCAGGCAGGCAGCTGGGGGCCCTGTTTCACAGCTTTCAGTTTCCTTCTGACCAGGCATTGGCAGTTGACACTTCCGTATCCACTCCAGGGAAATGTAACTTGTTAGAGAATAGAGACTAATTAAATGGTGTTCAATTATGTTCATATCTGTGTTGATGCATGTTATTCTTATTACAGGGAGAACTGAGAAGGATTAGACATTTTGACATGATTGCTTTTTAATGTTTGTATTGAAGTTCTGAAGCTCTGAGGTACCTTCCCAAGAACTGTATTGTATCCATTATGAAAGCTAAAGACAAAGCAACACCACAAAGTCCTCTGAAACCTGTCAAAAAAGGCAACATGAAAAGGAAGCTGGGCATTGTCAACAGGAACACTGCAGACCAAGCTGGTAGTCCTGACAGTCGCTCAAATGCTGTAAATGGCACAATTATTCAGAAAAATGTAAAACGAAAACGAACTGTGAATCCCAAGCGCAAAAGGGCCGCAGTATTCCATCCTAATGAGGATAGAAGCTGTGGTGGGTTGGTAGCTATGAGTCAAGATGCAGATATCTCTGGTGAGAAGTCCACATTGCAGTGTCCACAGCAAGCTGTACCACCAGATCATCCATCACATTCTGTCTCAGAGGCTTTGGTGAAACTTGTGTCAGCAGTGAAAGATCTCTTCAAGCAGGTTAGTTATTGGAATGTTTAATGTGTTTTTCCACTTCTTACAGCCAGACAATCAATTTTTAATCAAAATGTTTTGCTGTAGTTTTTTACAATGTTTTGAATACCACAGTCATGTTCTGTTTCAAATTTGACTGGAAATATCAGCTTCCAAAAGCTCACATTCACATCATAGATAATTAATTATGAAGTTATTAAAAGAACCTGATTTTGCCTCTTGCATTATTCAGTTCAAAGGCTGCTCAGTGTCAGCTGACCTTGATCTTGCCTGGTACTAATTTCAAACACTTATATCTTCCTTTCCACAGCATAGTCTGCAATCAATGGTGGAGTTCAATATTCACATTCCAAGCAAGTCAGATGTGACCTTCCAACCAAAGTGTGAAGATTTGTCTGAGGTTCAGAAGAGCCTGCAGTATCTTTGTTTATGTCTGCAGGTGAGGACCATTTACTTTTGGGTATTTTAATGGGAAAAATGGAAATCATGGGACTTCCTTAGCTTGTTAATATACCTTTCCAAGATAGAATGAGCATTTAACATAGGTGACTTACATGTAGTCTTCTAATATAGTGCTCTTAAATAATTACAACAATCTAAGTTTGGTGCATAGTAATGCACAATAATTAATCAGTAATCATAATGCATCGATTGAAGCAATCATCATTGCATTCAGAAGTTTTGGCAGTTTTGACTTTTAGTTTTGACTGCCACTCTGGTACTCAAAGTGGCATTTCTTGCATCTCTCATGTTTACAGGACCTCCAGATCCTGGTTGATTTGGAACTAGCAGCTGCTGAAGCACAGGTCAAAGCACATGCATTGTTGCCAGGTAATAAGTATAATCATTTTTGTTTACCAACATCATGCATTGTTGACCATTGATCATTGAACAATGCTCATCATTGATCAGATTAACAACATCATGTTTTTTACTCAACATCATGTTTTTTACTCAACATCATGTTTTTTACTATCAGTTTATCGACATCATTTTCGTTTATCGACCTGCTTGCCGACTGTTACAGGTCAAAAGCCAATTGCATCGGAGCCTTATGACAATAATTGTATGTATGTATGTATGTATTTATTTGAACGCCCACAGGTATGACACCCATTTACAGACGCAGTCCGATACTAAAACCTATAAATACGTGTGCTCATGGGTTGTCAAATATAGGTACGTATAGTCATGTCAGAGACAGATAAAGAAGGCTCTAAGAGACTTCATAAAAGTTCCTCGACTGGCGAATAGGTCCGCAGATGCCACATGTTCGTACATGCCGTTCACTTGTCTCGGTAAGCGACAAAACATTCCGGCCCTTATCGTTTCCACCCTTGCGGTGGGTTCGTGCAGTATCGCCCGTCCTCGAGTCCGCCTACATGGAAAACACAATCCAAACATCCCAACAATATCGGTGGACCTAATGCGACCAGAGAACACCGAATGAAGAAAAGTGAGATCGCGCTGCACCAACCTTGTCCGAATACAACTCACACCAAAATGAGACAGCAGCTGATGGTAATCGAGAGACTGAGAGGGCCGTGTGGAATGAGTTGCCAGCCAGATGAGCATCTTATGCTGGATCCGTTCCAGACGCTGTATATGTGTTTTTGAGGGCGAACGTGGGCATTAAAAGCAGTGATAAGAGGCTCAGGTCGAAACCGTCTCCCCCTCGCAGCACGAGAGGTCTGCAGCGAGCGCAAGTACACGCCAAGCGCCCGGTTCGCACTCCCGACGACGCCGTCGACGTGAGGCCCAAAAGTTAATTTTGAGTCCATGAGCACGCCCAGATCGCGCATCACAGATACACGATCTAAGGTGATCCCATGGATGGAGTAGTCGAAATGGACTGGTTTAGTGCGGAGAGTGAATGTAATCTGTTTACATTTTGTGGGATTCAATTGCAGCTTCCAAGTAGTTGACCATGTACAGAATTTATGTACATCGTTTTGAAGGGCGACAGCGTCATCAAGCGTGCGAACCGGGCGGAGCAGTTTCATGTCATCAGCATACATGAGGCACGACGAGTTCAAGTAAGATGGTAAATCGTTGCAGAATAAAATAAATAATTTGTTGCTCTTAGACTACCTCACTCACTGGTTGTTAGAAATGGATTATCACAGAGATTATCGGTGCCAGCCAGACCCGACGAGTGTTTTCTGTTCCCAGCAGGGCCCACGCCATCCGTGGCTCAGCCAGTTGCCGAAGACACCGCCGAAGCTGAGCGCGAGCTGTCGCCGCCGGCTGAGGAGACGGAGGACGACCCCGACTGGTCCGCTCCGTCCGACCACGAAGAGGAGGGAGAGGGAGAGGAGGAGGACGGGCCCGAGCCCCCACCCGCCGCCGGTCGCCGAACCGCCCGTCCCGCCGCCACGGAGCAGGCGTTCGTCTGTACCAGTGCCGGCTGCGAGCAGAAGTTAGTATATTTCCCGGTCTGCGCCTGTGATAGGGTGGATAATCAGGACAGCACGGTAGGGCTATGCTAGCAACTGATTGTAGGTCTTTGTTTGGTCGTCGCTCGTATTTGAAGAAGACCCACCTTCAATTTGATTGCTCGATTCCAGCATAGGTAGTTGCTTTAGTCACCTGTCACCATCATACAGCCAAAACGGTTAGGCTTTTGTCCATAGAAGGTTTCCGTTGATTGGACCATTACATGGCTATGAAAGATGGCGACATTTACTACCATGACTGTCAGAGCGAGACCGCTATTTCCAGAGTTTTCATTACTCTAATCTATATCCGTTTGGTGCATTCATTGCTTACGGGTCTCATCGGACTCCATCGGGTCATGCTGTAAGGTACGTCATAAACACGAGCGCTACCATAAACCTAAATAAAATTGGTCTGTGGGCAAGGAATCCTTTGATTTGACGACCCTTGCTCCAACATCACCCGTGCTCGCCTCGCCCTCTTAACACGGCCCGTGTTCCCTCTAACATGACCCGTGTTGCCGCAGGAGCGGCGTTCCGCGCCGGTTCGCCTCGGAGAAGAGTCTGCGTATGCACCGTGTGGCGTGCCACGGTGAGAAGATGTCCAGCCGCCGGTACCACGAGTACACCTGTCCGCTGTGTGGCAGCGTGCAGAAACGACCCCGAGAGCTGGCCGCACATATTGTGGTGAGTGAAACAGGGGGTGGGGAGAAACCGGGCACGCTAGGAAACCTGTAGAGGGGAGCGAGCTGGACCTGACTGAGAAGTGCTTTGTATTTTGAGTTCAGTGTTGTACGTACGTACTAAATAGAGCTACCATACGAATTCCCAGCGAGCTCACTTTTTTCTTGAGCTGTCACAAGTCTGAATTCCACCCAGTGCTTGCCTGAATGAAATGTCGAGTCGAGTGGCGAATATTAACCGGACTGTGCAGTGTACTTCTTACGGTTAACTGAAATGTGACATCCATAGTGGCTTGATATCCCTTTGTGACCGTACTACCGTATATGTGGAAATCGTGCGGGTGGTACTTTTCTTATTCCTTACCCTCTTTCGTCAGACGTGTCAGGGCAGGGGCGAGGTGGCCGCGCCGCCGGCAGCCGACGGTGCCGATCCGGCGGCCGGCGCGGACGGCTCCCAGTTCATCATGTGTCGGCTGTGTCACCTGTGCTTCCCGACCGGAGACATGCTGCGGGCGCACAGCTGCCAGTACGGAGACGCTGGGGGTGTCATACAGGTAAGTGCCGCGCACAGTTGCGGGCCCACGGCTGCATCCAGTACGGGGATCGTTAAAAAGGTCGTTACCCGTCCATTTCTCGCCTGTGTTACTCGTACATCCGCGAAGCCAGGCACTGAACTCGGTTACAGGGTTTAGGCATACCGTGCACAGCTGTGTAACATGACAGCTGACCAGCCCCGTTACGGTGCTTTCCCCGTTGGCGTAAGGTTAGTCCCCTAAATCTACCACCCTTCCCCCTCCCCCGCCGTCAGGAGCTGCTCGGCACCGGCACCCTGTCGATCAGCGGCGCCGAGCTGGCGACTCTGCGCCGCTTCATCTGCTACCAGTGCCGCGAGGAGTTCCGCAACCAGACCATCTACCGCGTTCACCTGCAGTTCTGCCGGCCGCCGCCGTATGCGTGCGAACTGTGCGGCGTGGAACTGCCCTGCGGCCGCCGACTGGTCATGCACAAAATGAGCGAGCACAGGTGCGTGACATCGGATGGAGCTTTGCGTAATTGGGAGGGAATGTCAGCTTTCATAGGCGCTCAGTGTAATTTGGCATTTAGTGTTTTTGTCTACCTCTTGCCTAGCGAAAGATATGGGAGGCTAAGTCATGTATCTTCTTTTTTCCCCAGTAAGTCAAATCGGCCGATGTTTTTCTGTCGTGCGGACGGCTGCGGGCTATCGTTCCGACGAAATGCCGCTCTTCAGAAGCACATGATTCAGCGCCACTCTAACCAGCCGACCGGGCAGCCGTACGGCTGTGACGTGTGCGACAAAAAGTTCATCAAGAAGATATACCTGACACACCACAAGCTGCGTTACCACCACGATACGCTGCAGAGGGACTTTGTCTGTGATGTGAGTTGAGGGTGCTGGTAGATGGGAGGATTAGACGCCTATCAGACAGAGGAAGGTAGCTAGACACGGTTGACGGTGCTGATTTTCAGTTGCAGGAGCCATCGGTTTTGCCAATTGAACTGCATGTTCATAAGTCAAATTCATGTCCAAAGTATATGCTCTTACTTTTTTCTTTATCACTATTTGCTATATTTGTCGTCTTTACAATGTCTCGTCAGCACGATTAAGTGGGAGGACTGTCGTACTGCGCTGTGGGTAGCGCGTGGCTGGACGGACGGTCTGTGACAATCTATTGATCTGTGGCTGATCTATTAGAGTGTCCGTCCGAGAGCCGTACGACGGCTGACAGAGCCTGGGGGTCGCGAACTGGTGTGGTAACCGTTACGCCCACCTGGGACGCCCGAGTCGGTACGGCACTTGCGGTGTCGTAACCGGATCGGCGGGAACCAGCAGAACGCTGTTGGACCGGCGGTGAAAGTCGGAACCGAGCACTCGCCCACCAGTGGGGCGTCTGGTCGAGCAGGTCTACCCGCTAAGGCAGCCTGAGCACGAACCAGTGGCAGGGTCCGATCAATGACCGTGGTCCGACCAGGGTGTCAGCGCAATGGCCAGTCAGAGGCGTCTTTAAGGGCGCGGAAGCCCACCTCGGTCGACTGTGGCCGGTGCAACCTAGTCAGGTCGTTTGTGTGAATCTCCGTGTTCTTCCCTCGCCTCAGAGTAGCCGCTCTTCTCCAAATGCCCGAGCCGTTTTCTATGTGTATTTGTCTTGTAGCGAACAGCAGAGTCGAAAAACGAATTGACAATGTCGCCGAAAACCGCGGTCACATGCTGGCCGTCCCTAGTACTATCAATATGCCCGCAGGCGCGGCGAGAGACAAGCTTAACGTATGAGTCACCGTCCGGCCGCCGGGAGAGCCCCTACGGCGACCTTTGTTCACAGTCATGACGTCACGACAATGGGCTCCTAAACGTACGGGCAGCGGCCGCCTCAGGGGTGCCGCCGTGACCTTTGCACGACACGTTCTATAGCGTATGGCACAGCGGTTACTAGGAAGGTTGAGGCCAGCGGCAGGCCGGTTTACAAATAACAAACAAACTTGACGCGCAATTGACAACAGGTAACAGATTGATTAATATAGCGGTGACAATATAAATGACAACATGAAATGACAAATGGCATAGATGACAAATCGCATGGATGACAAATCGCATAGATGATCCCTACAGGACGACGCCGGGTACCCGATACAATATTACCTCCGCTGCACTCTGACGTGGCGATTTTAGCGGCAGCCGGCTTTATCAGCCATCCCCACTGACAGTCCTCTTCTCGGCAGGTGTGCGGCGCCCGGCTGGGCTCCAGCAGCGCTCTCACCGTTCACGTGCGCTCGGTGCACGCGCGGCCCGAGCACACGTGTCACGTGTGCGGCAAGGTGTTCTCGCGGCCCGACCGGCTGGCCATTCACGCCAAAATACACACCGGTGAGTGGCGAGCGGGAAACGGGCCGCCGATTTGGGCTGGGCGACCTCGTTCGAAGTTACGCAATGCTGTTTTTTTTTTTGCAGTAGTGCTACTCTTCAGCATATTTTCACTGCTACGATTCAAGTTGAAATTATGTATTTTGTTTTCATACTCACTGTCAGCTCGTCAACTTATCTTTTGCGTCGCCTGCAGCGTATCGAATCCTCCCCTACCGGTAATCTGACCGTCCCCCATTGCCCCCGCCAGGCGTGAAGCCGTACAAGTGCACCCTGTGTCCGAAGGCGTTCATTCAGCAGTGTAAGCTGAATGACCACCTGCGCCGGCACCGGGGCGAGCGGCGCTTCCGCTGTGTTATGTGCGACAAGGTGTACGCGGCCAGCCATGACCTGCGCTCCCACCTGCGGTGAGTGGTTTCACGGGCCGGCTACGGGCCGCTCAGTTGGATGATGGGTGGGGTGACTGGTGGATAATAGTTGCACATTGCGCTGATTGGGCGGCTGAGGGACGAGTTATGAGCGTTCCGTCATCGCCGTGCTGAACAAACTAACGAAATGGGCAGTGAAAGAAGCCGGTGTTAATTTATTAGAGTGTTTCAGTAAAATAGGCTTATTGATTTGTATTGTAACTGCGCGGCCGACTACCTGGAATATTGCTGAATGCTAACCCTACTCGTAAAAGTGGACACCAACATATCCTCACGCCCAGTTTCTTTTATTACTTTTTTTTGTCATAAATGGGGTGTACCAAAAAAGTTAACCCACAAAAATTTTTACGAGCGAGCGAGCGCAGCGAGCGAAGTGAGTCTTCTCAATATAACGGAAAAATCTCAGTATGAGCGGCCCGGCCCGGCCCGGCCCGGCCCGGCCCGGCCCGGCCTGTAACGCTTTTGAGAGGCTTACATCTCAGCAACCGCTGGACCGATTGGCCTGCGGTCTTTTTTGTTGGGTAGCCTCATCCCTTCTACCCCGTAATTGACTACTTTTGATACATCTCAGTCACCGTCGTGGCACGTGCCACGTGAAAAGTCAAGGGTGTTCAAGCTGTTTTGCAAAAGTAGTGATTTTGAGAGGCTCATATCTCAGCAGCCGCTTGGGCGATTGACTTGCGGTAATTTTTGTAGGGTAGCAGCATCCCTTCTACCCAAAATAGGATACTCTCGATGTATGTGGGTCAGCCCCAGTGCACGTGCAAAATACAACAATAAGAGGTGCCAAATTTGTTCCCATTTCAGTAACTCGGTAATTACTGGGGCGATTTCGCTGAAACTTGGCATACAGGTAGGCACCCACCAGGCAATGCTCAGTATGAGCATTGCCTAACTGCATGTGTTGCAGTTAGGGTGCTACTGCACGTGCGCACGTGCAGGGGGCGTTTCCAGATCTCGAGAACGGCTGGGCCGATTGCGCTCAAATTTGGTACACTGTTGGGGACGAGTTAGTAGGGTGCCGTGCAAAAGTCATTTTGGACCCCGTTTGCACGTGCGCACGTGCAGAATGCCGCTTCCAGATCTCAGGAACGGCTAAGCCGATTGCGTTCAAATTTGGCACACCGCTAGCGACCGGTTAGAAGGGTGCTTTGCACAAGCCCGTTGGAAGCACCCTCTCGCCCTTCCGCACGTGCAGGGCTCACTATCTCGCTCGCTCGTTCTTCGCCCAAAAGGCGTTTTACTGGTTACGAGCGAGCGAGCGCAGCGAGCGAAGTGAGTCTTTTCAATATAACGGAAAAATCTCAGTATGAGCGGCCCGGCCCGGCCCGGCCCGGCCCGGCCCGGCCCGGCCCGGCCTGTAACGCTTTTGAGAGGCTTATATCTCAGCAACCGCTGGACCGATTGGCCTGCGGTCTTTTTTGTTGGGTAGCCCCATCCCTTCTACCCCGTAATTGACTACTTTTGATACATCTCAGTGACCGTCTTGGCACGTGCCACGTGAAAAGTCAAGGGTGTTCAAGCTGTTTTGCAAAAGTAGTGATTTTGAGAGGCTCATATATCAGCAGCCGCTTGGGCGATTGACTTGCGGTAATTTTTATAGGGTAGCAGCATCCCTTCTACCCAAAATAGGATACTCTCGATGCATGTGGGTCACCCCCAGTGCACGTGCAAAATACAACAATAAGAGGTGCCAAATTTGTTCCCATTTCAGTAACTCGGTAATTACTGGGGCGATTTAGCTGAAACTTGGCATACAGGTAGACACCCACCAGGCAATGCATTCCCATGTGTTGCGGTTAGGGTGCTACTGCACGTGCGCACGTGCAAGGGGCGTTTCCAGATCTCGAGAACGGCTGGGCCGATTGCGCTCAAATTTGGTACACGGTTGGGGACCAGTTAGTAGGGTGCCGTGCAAAAGTCATTTTGGACCCCGTTTGCACGTGCGCACGTGCAGAGTGCCGCTTCCAGATCTCAGGAACGGCTGGTCCGATTGCGTTCAAATTTGGCACACCGCTAGCGACCAGTTAGAAGGGTGCTTTGCGCAAGCCCGTTGGAAGCACCCTCTCGCCCTTCCGCACGTGCAGGGGTCACTATCTCGCTCGCTCGTCCTTCGCCCAAAAGGCGTTTTACTGGTAAAATATTTTCTCAGGATGCATCTTAGTTTTTACACATCGGTATCAAAAGCTGCTGAGTGTCTATTGTGCTATCTTGATCAAAGTTGGTTTATTTTTGCCGTTGTAGATGCACTCCGAAGAAATGGCCGAAAATCGTCAAAACTGTGATTTCGTTCATGTAGGTAAAATTCAATGGACATCATGGATAGTTCTTCCGACAACTACCCCTTGCCACCCACTCACACACACACTCACACACATTATGTTTCAGTCCGACGATAAACAAAAACCATTGCATCAACAGAGCTGTGCAGTGCTTCACCGCTATCGTAGAACCTGTGGTGCTTGAGATGCTGTCAACATCGCAGTATTTGTGGGCACGCAGTTTGCTTTCATTTATTTTATGCAGCTTAGAGTTATCCTACGGGTCAATGATTGGCTATAACCACGGCTGAATTAAAAAGGACTTGATTCGGCTCCAAAATTGTGCGATATCTCTGACGTGCCACCATTTGATGGCATATACTATCGATTCGCCAGAAACTTCATCCATTTACTTCTCACTGCATTGTAAAAGCATCGGGACTCAGACGAGTGGAATAACAGTGGTCTCCGTTCGTATACAGACGGATACACAGCGTGGACATGGTGAACAAGACGCACACCATCCAGCCGGTGGCGTCTCTGCTTCGGCCGCTGCCGCCTCCGGAGCCGGAGCCGGAACCGGAACCGGAGCCGGAGCCGGCGGTACAGGAGCCGGATGGCGCGGAGCAGCAGCCGGAGGCGCCGCAGCACCAGCAGCTCTCCGCAGTGGTGCCCCAGACATTGCAGAGCGTACAGGTGGGCAGAGCACTCTGAAACAATCCTATTTGTATTTTTTGTGTACCTTTACTTCGCTGGTTTGTTAAAATAACTGAGTTGAGTTTAGAGCGACCGGGATGGAGACGAGGTGTTTTACCGCAAACAGTCACTTATACATGCGATTTTTTTTCTCGACAGTATTTGAGGAAGACCAACTCACGCCATGTCCGCAGCTTTGAGATGTTATCCTCTCGTCTTTCGTCGATGTGCGATACCACTTATGACCTGAATAGTTGAATTTTTGTGTTTGAATGCTCTAAACGTCAAAATGCTTTATCTGCACATAACGGCAGGCGACGTGCAAAACTGGTGACATCGAGTTGTGGCTGTTACCCTGACCTGTCTCGCTCGTGTGTTTCAGCTGCACTCTGTGCAGGTGACGGCGCCGACGCCGACTCTGCACGTGCAGGACCTGTCGCAGCTGGGCGGCGGTCTGATCCTGATCCCGGCGGTGGACGCCAGCGGTGGCACCTCCTTCTACCCCATCATCAACCAGTGAGACGACGGGCCGTCCACGAAGATGTCACCGTGTATCATCGTATTCATCAGCCAGTGAGCCGAGCCGTCCGACCGTCTGCCGCAGATGCGACCGTCTCTGCCTCTGTGTCGGGCGGGTCGGCCGTCAGCTCTACTGTAACCATCATCATCCTCGGCATCATCAACAGCTGATTAGTGGCAGCGGTACATTATTATCAACAGCATGAGAACCTCATCATCACATCATGTGTTTTTTTACGATTATTATAATGTCGATATCATGTGACCGTTATTTATTTCGTCCTCACACGTTAATCGTTATCCAAGCGACATGTGCCCATTTGATGGCAGCTATATAAGATCAGCACTGGCACTGAGCTAAGTTCGTTTTTATATCTTGTATACCGGACGGATGTCGTAACGAGAAAGGGAACAAATCATGCTTGTTGTTTTATTGACATGGATGTGATGCATTGCCATTTGTATTTTATTGGAGGTATGGCGAGAAGATTCATTTTGCATTCCGATTGTTCTTTCCGATTTTAGTGTCCCATCGGCATTTTTCGATCAGCCGACCGACTAGGCACCTTGTGGTGTTTCAATCTGCAGTCTTTCAACTGAATGTCACTGGCTTAGATAAGGAATTGGTGGCTTGTGCAGACATCAACGTGCGTGTTTCTCTGTTGGTTGTCCGTTGTGAACTGAACTACAGAAATAATCATCTGAGATACGGTTTCACCCCGCAGCTTGTGAGTTTGAACTGATACGTTGTACGTTGAACCGGGGCATTGAACACATATGGTTGAACGGGGCCATTCGCCCTGATTCGGGAGGCCGTTTATACTCGTCTTACTTATTGGAGACTTTGTTTGCGCCGACTTTTTAATCATTTTGAATCATTTCAAGGCTGCATGAGCGCGATGAGGAGCCGGCGAGCGACCGCCTGACGGATTGCCATGCCCTTCAAATGCAGTGAAGGCGATGACACGATCCGCATTAAAAAGAGACAGACCTCGGCCACACTGTTCACACACAAATGTTCATGACCCATGACAATAAGTGGTCGGATCTCTCCCCATAGTCCATAGGCGGCGGAACGGGGAGGGCACCGGGGCACCGTGCCCCCCTTTGATTTAGGTATTTTAACATTAGCCCTATGGGCGTTGCATGGAAAGAATGGGACCAAAAGTCGGCAGTTCCCTCCCCCCCCCCCCCCCCCTCCGCCGCTGCAGAATGTGTTCCGCCGCTACTGCAATAGTCAATATAGCCTCAAAAGCTGATGGCCGGGAAATGACTGGATAATTTCTTAGTCGTCGAAATATTTGCCACTCTAATTCCGAATTTCTTTATGACGTTCACCCCGCGTTCGATGTCTCCCGGACGGCGAAGATTCTACGCCGTCCGGCCAATTGCGTTCCACAACCGCAGCCGAGCCCCCGCTGACCTTGCACGGGATTGGCCGGACGACGTAGAATCTTCGTCGTCCGGGAGACATCGAACGCGGGGTCAATCAATATGACATATGAGAATCAAGGCGAAATATTCCGGATGCCAGCTATGCTACGAAGAAAATGACGTAGAGGGTGAGTAAAGTAATCGTGGTGAGATGTTGGTCATAATCGTGCATGTGAGTGAGAATATTTGACTTTTTAAGATTTAGTGATACTATTTCGACCATCGTTACCATAATAAATTCTAACATTCGGCCTTTTTATGTTCTTCAGATGAACAAGACTAAAATCCATGCATTTCTCCGTGGCTTGATTGGTTTTTGTTTATGACGTCATCGATCGTATATTTTCATTCTATTTACCGAATATGACTAGCCGGCATCTTTTTCGCGGGATGCGCCACGCGTTTGTGATTTTCAAATGGTTCGGGTTGGGGTGGTTTCTCATATTTTATCGATTTTTGTATTCTTTGTCAATACCTTGACATAGCAAATACTAAACTTCGATGGGGTGCTTCTTCCGACGCGCTGTTATCAAGCTTACAAGCCTTTTAATGTGTTCAATTTGGCTGGTGATTTGTCAGAGAGCTCAAGCTTCCGGAGGGCTGTTCACGGGCCCTGTGTGCGGTCGGACCGCACACAGCCTCCAAGCTCCGCCCACTGCGTCCCTACGTCAGCCTTCCGTCACCGCACACAGCGATCGCTGTGGCCGGTCGGGACCGGCCACAGCGGACCGTCCACCGCACGCAGCCGTGACGTCAGAGCCGCCTACCCATCCCCTACCCCCACGCCTGCTGGACGCTCCGCACACACCGCACGCAGCAGTGTGCGGTGCCCGTGAACACCCCTCAGAGTCGGTGCCGATTCGTTTTTATTGTCTTTAATCAAACACGAAAATATGATACCATTTGTTAAGCATGATAAAATGCACTGTGTGCAGAGTTTCATGATGTATCAAAAATATCGGTATTTGTAGAGCAGACGTGACAGGACACAAATTGGTTTTCCAACCGATGAGAGGCGCTATCGGCTATACCCAGAGGTGCTTCTTTCTAACAAAATTTAAACAAACCTTACCTAATATGACCTAACCTAACCTACAACCTGTAAACCTACAGTGCCTGGAAAACCTTTGTGTGACATGTGCTCTACTAACTGCCAAAATATTGGTATTAGTATATATTAGGTTCGAGTGGACAATTGTGACGCTGTTGATACAAATATGTAACAGCAAAAAATTTAGGTTTTTTGGTTTGGTTTGGTTTGATAAGAAAGCGTCTCTGGGTATAGCACCTCTCCTTGGTTGCAAAAAAAGTGTGATGCCTGCTTTATGACTGCCTTGCAAAGGATATGGAATTTTGTATGATGATGGTTAGGTGCAGGCTTGTCTGTTGTAGGTTTTCTGTGGTGCCATGTAGATTTCAAAAATGCACTTTTACAAACAGCACTTTCATGAACCAGCTTGACCAAGTCATGTCTCAAACGACTTTATCCAAGTTCTAATCAGTCCAGTCGCAGTAATACCCTGTGCCTGATGTGAGCACTGAATAGACATGTTGTCTACACCAGCCCATCTGAATGAACCCCCCCCCCACCCAAAAAAAAAAACTGAATCTAGATTTTTGTGATGCTAAGCAAGATGACAAGCGGTGAGTTTTTCTAGCAGTATGGCCCAAAATATCAAAGCCTTTGAAATGACTTTGTCAGTAACAGTTTAACCTTCTCTAAAAGTTTTTTACCTTAAATGTCATACCGAGTGATGCTAGACATTACCCAGAGCACTTAATTGATATTATCTACTGCAATAGTTTTGTTTGGCTCATCAGGAGGAAAGATTATATGAAACACTAATTATTGTCATTTGCTGGCTACCCAAGCTTAAGCCCTGCCTTATAGCTATGGGCAGCAGTCTGAGTTTTACTGTTACTGAGTTATTAGTACGAGTTCTCAAGTTCTATCGAAAGGTGACTTTGAACCAGTTTGGTACAAGTTGACATTAAAGCTGGCATAGTTACCCTCTGCATAATCAGTTTGGCATTGGCTGACATATATGAAATTCAACTTCTGAAAACAAGAAAACGATGTCTGTTACAAAACCTTTATGTGATATTAGGGCAAAATAATCAAACTAAGATCTTCAATTATCACAATATAAACCCTTTCAATTCACAATGACTTGATATGCTGAGCACTGACCAATGCAGCTATGTTTTTAAAGCTATTAAGTTTGGTTTGGATAATGTTAAATGCTACATGAATAGTTCTACAAAATGATGACATCAGATTTCCCAGGCTTGGAAGTCATGACTCAATTTTGAATTGTTGTTTTTTTTTTAGGAAAAAAGTAGATTTTTTCATCAGAGATGGCTCAGAGATATCTAATAGTGTATGGGATTTGTTTGTTAAATTGAGTTAAGCATGACCAAATCTGTACACACCAGATTTGCAGCTGTCATTTAACATATATCTAAGTATTCTAAATTGCCCAATAACTTGAAAAATTTAAGTATTATTAGGCTTTTTGTATTAATTATTCCATTCCACTCAAAGGGATAGATTTGTGACATGACATGACATGGCTTATTATGAGCAGCTAAATTCTGAACCTGACCATAGTCTGACCTAGACCTCACAATATCTACCTTTGGCTCAAATCACGAATTGGAAATTTATGTTCATTACATTATATGCGTAAAGGGAGCCATAAAACCTCACTGTCCTTCTATTCTTTTGAACAACAGAGCTGATTTCCAATGGCTTTAGGTGACCTGATCTTGAACTTGACCTTCGCAATTCATGGTGTCTTAGCTCTCAAGCGCAGCACTCTGGATGCCTGTTAAAATACAATTGGAAAAATATTGACAAGCTTAGTATGTGCTCTCATCTTTCTACTGGCTCTGTGGTGTTAGTGGCACCATAGGTTTGTCGGACGGATACGAAACTCAACGCCAAGATTGTATCATGTTTTCCTGTTTCCACTACATTTCCTGCTGCTGCTACACCATGCCTGCTGACTCATTGCAGGGTGCTTGCACACTTCCTTGAGATAACTCAAAGGCGCTGGTGCGCGGCCCCCAGTCCCGGCTCAGTTCTTCCGTTCCCGGTCTCCGTTGTTCGTAATAAAGCCGTAAAAAATACAGAGTTCTTCGGTGCAACATGAATGAAGACTCCTCACCGTTACTCTGGCTTGTATATTTTTTCAGGCTTAGGAGTGATGTTGCAAATATTAAATATTGTACCTCGTAAATTATAACGCAGCGATCGTTTTTTTCCAGACGTCAACATGACGTTGTATACGAAGAAGAAAGACGTGGAACGCTATGTCAAGGAACTATTGTCGAAAGTGAAGACCGATGATGAGGTAAGCTTATACCCTATAGGCAGACAACTTCAACTCTGAATAATATCGATGCCTACATTTACTTGTGACGCCCACGCCGGTTGCCGTCGCCAGCTGCATTACTGTGATTAGCGGAATATCAAGCCATTGTTCAGATTGTCCAGGTATTAACACTTTATATGAATCTTGTCAGTTTGCGTCGATGTGTGCTACGTTAAATGCACACTCCTTTTTTAGGAACATTTGGAAGAAAGTGAGCTTTTAATGTCAGCTGACTCAGGGCCACACTGTAATCCGTTCTGACTGCATGTCACCCCGTCCTCCTCTGCCGCAGCGCAAGCTCAAGGGGTTCACGATCGCGCGCATGTTTCACCAAGTGGGCGACCAACGGACGGCTCGCCAGTACCTCAGCTGGTACCTGGAGGCGCGCCCGGGTGCCGCGCCGGCCCACAAGCTGCTGGGCCAGGTGCTGGCGGCCAGCGGCGAGCCGGCGGCGGCGCTCTCAGAGTTCGGATTCTCGCTGGAGCTGGACCCCCACCAGAAGGACCTGGTCATGACCGGTGAGTCACTGATGGTCGGGGCGGCTGGCTGGACGTGGTCAGGGCTGCGGGGTCGATGGATTTTAGGGTGACTCCCGACTCCGACTCCGACTCCGGCTTCAAAAATCGACTCCGACTCCAACTCAAACTTCGACTCCGGATGGTTCTTTTAAAATCCAAATCGTGATATCGAAGTTCATAATGGAGATGTTTTTATCTTGCCTGAAACGATCCCTTGTGCGTTCCTAGACTTTGCGTTGCAAATATGCATTGAAAATAACATGCAGAATTAAAAGAGCAGGTTCTGGGGAATTCACAGTCTTCTGCTTCTTTTGCTCAAAACGTTCGTCCAAAACAGCAAAATGACCTTTTTTGACAAAATCTAATTTCGAGCGCAGTATCGTCAACCAATAAGG